TTCTTTTGCTAACCTTACAGCAGTCCTATTTTAAAGCACTATTCTAGTCCTGATCTAGCCTTCCTATAGCTTTATTCTAGCTCTGCTCAAGCCTCACTCTAGTTCTACACTAATTCTACTATAGCCTTCCTCTAGCTCTTCTCTGGCCCTACTATAGCCTTCGTGTAGCTTTATCTTAGCTCTGCTCAAGCGTCATTCTAGCTCTACCCTAGCCACCGCAGTTCTACCCTAGCCCTGCTGTTAGACATGAGAAAAGGCCCGGGCCTACTATCAAGCCGGACCCAAATTTAAGTCGGGCCGGGCCTGAAAATCAAGACCAAGACCATTTGCATATAAAGAAATTCGGGCCGGGCCTGAGCAAATATTAGATAGGGTCAGGCCTGAAAAATGGAGCCGTTCCTCATGTCTACCTGCTATAGCCTTCCTCTCGCTCTACCATAGACCTCCCCAGCCTTACACTAGCTTTACCCTGGCCCTAGCTTCGCCCAACTTTTGCCCTACCCTAGCCTCCTCTTAACTCCACTTTATCATACCCTGCTCCACCTTAACAATACAGTAAGACTCACTCCCTTTGCGGTTTTTCCAAAAAAAAAGTATTTTTAACTTCAGTAGTTACCAAACCCACTCCAAATTGCAAGATTTTGCAAAAGTGCTGCACTTTGCAAAAGTTTTTAACGACTTTTTTCAATAAACATATTTACATTGTATTCATGGTTTGTTGGTGTTCATGACCTAACCACCGTAATAAGCGCCATTCAGAGTGTGTGGGAGTTTGGAAAAGTGGGTAAATTACTGATAATGCCAAATCAATTGACTATTGAACTGGAATTAAGAAGGGAAATTCTTAAAGAATCGTCTACATGCCAACAACTTTAACATCAAATTAGGTTATATTGAGGACGTCAACAATGTACAGTATAAGTCAAATTGAGCTGAATTTGAATCAAAAACATTTTTTTTGTCGCTTTAGCTTTAATTTACCCTACCCATGGCTTAGCCTACATTAGGACATAGCCTACACGAGGCCCAAGACTACCCTACCTTAGGGTCTCGCTTACCCTAGAGTCTAGCCTACTTTAGAGCACAGCCTACTTTAGGGCCTAACCTACCCTAGTGCCTAGCCTACCCTACCCTAAGGCCGATCCTACCCTACCCTAGGGTCTAGCCCATCCTAGAGCCTAGCCTACCCTAGAATCTAGCCCATCCTAGAGCCTAGCCTACCCTAGGACCTAGCCTATCCTAGGGCCTAGCCTACCCTAGGGCCTAACCTACCCTAGGGCCAAGCCTAGCTTATAACCCCGGCCAATCTATAACCTAGCCTTAATTACGTCCTAGCACACCCTATGGCTGCCTTAGGATCTAGCCTACCCTATCCTAGAGTCTAAGGACCCCAAGACCTCTCCTACTACCTTCCTTAAGGGATCTCCTACTCTATGTCCTAGCCTACCATATGGACTACCCGACCCTATGCTCTTATGCACTGGCCTCCCAAAAGGTATTACACTAGCACTGAAAAAACTATCCTAGTACCAAACACACTACAGTACCCAACCAACAAGACCAGAAAGCCATGACTAGTCCATGTACTACCCGTTTACCCAAAAAAATCCACAGAATACGTTGGCAAGATTAATCTTTGTTACAACATTTCGCATTTTTTACACACAGCTTATTCAAATGCTAACATTTACAGGCCTGCAGTGAGTATTCTAATCTGACGCATACTGCAAGAATACGAAATGTCACAAGTTTAATGTCATTAAAAAATGAAAGATATCTAGAGTAAAGTTTGGTCTCAATTTACTTTAACAACCTAGTAAAGTTTGAGTAAGGTTAAGGTTGAGGGGTAAAGTAAGGGTAGATACGGGTAGCACTAGAGGTACTGGTAGAATTAGGGATAAGGGTAGAAGTAGAGGTAAAGGTAGGGGTAAAGGTAGGGTTAGGGGTAAAGTTGAAGTAAGAGTAGGGATAGGAATAAAAAACGTAGAGTCATGATAAGCAGGGCCGGGCGCGAGGGGGGACCCCCCCCATAAAAAAATTTTTTGAAAAAAAAGTTGAACATGGTCCCCCCCCTGTAGATTTTCGGAAAAAAAATTTCGCAAAAAATTGGCCCAGGTGCTGTGCCGATTTTTTGGACCCCCGCCCCCAAACCAAAAGCCCCCGCCCGGCCCTGATAATAAGGCTTCAAAAAATTCTACAGTAAAACCATTTCCAAAGCTAATAATCTGTGTTCTTGTTTCACAATAACATCATGAATTAACGGATAATAACCGTGGCTAATGCCACTTCAAGTGGTTGAAATCTTTTTTGTTCTGCAAAAAAAAGAAACCCAAAGCGAATACTTGTTTTTGACAGTACGAATTTAATTCGTACTAATATTTGCATAAAACAAAAGAAACAAAGACGGCTTAAAGTAGAACAATGTCAATTAGAGTTTCAATTAAAGAATTACGTCTTGAACTGTTAAAATTTTGTTTTGGCTGTAATTTTGAATTTTGACGTAGTATTAGAGTAAAATGTTGATGGCACGTTAAAGCTAAAGGTATAGGACGTAATTTCCATTAGGTTTTTAAAACTGACTACTGTAGAATTACCGTAACCTAATGCTCTTAATAAATAACCTAGACCAAGCCTACCCTAAAGCCTAGCCTAACCTAGGACGTAGCAGACCCTAGGGCCTAACCTACCCCATAGCCTTCCTTATAACCTAACATGAGGCCTAGCCTACCTTAGGACTTATCCTACTCTAGGACCAAGCCTACAATAGAGCCTAGTCTATCCTAAAGCCTACGTTGAACTACTCTACTCTACCTACGATGCCCTTTCCTACCATACTTTCTTTCAATAAGCAGTAGCATGCAGTAAGTAAAAATCAAAGCCAAGACCATTGATCAAAGAATTTAAACCATCTTATTATAGTTGGCATTTTGTTAAAATTACAAGCCTTTTCATAATCCAAAACGCATTATATTCAAATTCAACGACCAAAAAATAGAGAAAAGGTGTCGTATTTTAAGCCGGATGTGTCGCTTTTTGTTTGGGTTGTGGTTATTAAATAGATTTTGTTATTTATGCAATAATCAATAAGCGGTTTGCAATCGAAATATAATACAATAATCCTTAAACAGGATGTTACGAAAAGAGTGTCATAGCTATGGAAATTAAAAAAAAAAAGAATAATAATAAACAGTTCTACTTTGCTTTACAGTAATCTGCTCTACACTGCCCTAAAGCCTATATTACTCTAAAACCTACCCTGCTACATAACTTATCTTAGTCTAAGACCTAGCCAAACCTAAGGTATAGCCTACAGAAGGGCCTCGCCTACCCTACCATACGGCCTAGAATGCCCTATGACCAGGGGCGTCGCTACGAATTTTTACTGGGGGATGGAGACCCAAAAAAATTTTTTCGAACTTACATTTTGCCTCCTTGCTTCAAAAACATCAACAATTTTAACTACGTTATATTATTCATGACGATCATTGATATAGGCATGGAAATCTTAAAAGTTGTCCTAAATTTTACCAAAATAAAAACATGAAATCGTTGTTATTACCTAAATAACAAACAAACACAATTTTTACATTGGCTGAATACCATGTTGAGAACAGCATATTTTGAAGATCTTCACGCGATTTTCGATTTTTTTTTCGTAAAAAATTATTATTTATACATTTCGTTTTATTTTTGTGGCATTTCGTTGATACACTGAAAAAGTTGTTGAAAAATGCGAATTTCAACGAGAAGATCAGGATTTCTATACTATAACTATCACATATTCGACAAGATTAGTTTAATATGAATGAAGACGGCGTAACAAAGAATTCAGAGAGCTGGCGATGCGGGAGAATTTAAAGGTAAGGGTATTTTAATTGTTCTTGATTTTTAGGTATGAATTCGTGGTTGGAAGTGAGCGATGACTGTTTTAAATCCTTGAGGTAAATATTGATAAGGTGTAGCAATAGGTTTTGAAAATTTTTATTAGCGGTTACGAGCATGGTGGATCAGATTTGATATTATCTTAGATTGTAAGAGAGTTATTATCCTTTTTTAATTTTTAGGCATGAAGTAGATGTTGGAAAACATTAGAGTGTAATTTGAAAGCTTGAGAAGAATATTTTTTAATTTTTAAAATAAGCTATCGTTAGTTAAGTTCAATAGTTTTAAAGCTTGGATTAGATTTGATATTATCATAGACATTAAGCACAATATTTTTTACCTTGAGAGTTTAAGGATGAAATCAAAGGTGAAATTAAATAAAATGTATTTTGAAACCTGAAGAAGCTTATTATAAAGGTGTAATGGCAAGTTATGTTAGTCTTGATATGCTAATTTATGAGTAATTATTAAATTTTATGTTATTGCAGACATCTGATGGCGACTTTTAAAAATTTAGCTCTAATACTTAAATTTAAAGCTTTAAGTGTCAAAAATTGTCGAAAACAGTCAGGTTATAGTATAAAAAGAGCTTCTTAATATGATTTATCTTGTGAAACCCTGTAATATAATATTTTTCGACATTAGTTGTAATATGAACCACAATGTCAAGAAAGATAAGATTTTAAGGCTTTGTTTAAACCCCCGCAACGTATTATCCTTTTTTAATTGTAATTGTTACAAAGCTACAATTTGTCACAGTATTAACCGTAATGTAGATGTAGGGACTAATTTACGGCTAATCTTAAAATACTGTATATTATACATGATAGTGTATGTTGCAATTTGACTAAAATTTTGATATCAACATAGCTTATTTGACTTTTGTTTTACTTTATAAGTTTATTTTACTTCATAAATATTGTAACAAGATTGATATACACCATAACACCATTTATATACAAAAAAGTTGTTCAATATGACAAAACTGACGTAATATAGACAAAAAAGACTAATAATAAGTTAAATTTAGGCTTAAAAATCCAAAAACTGAAAAATTAAGCCTAAATAACAACAAGAATTAATAAAAAATTAAGCCTAAAACAATCAAGACAAATATTCTATCCATACATGTTATTGTTGTTGTAGTCGTTGTTGTCCTCAACATTGTCATAAATGTCATCTTCTTCATTGTTGTTATTGTTCATTCCATGTTGATAACCCTCTTCTTCCTCATTTCGTTTCTTGCCAAAATCTTCCATACTTTCTGGGTTTTTATGATCTTCAGTTTCGGCTGTAACTACATTAATGCCACATTTAGTACGACGTTCTATTTCCAGGGCTTTTAGGACTTTTGGGTCTGCGTCTCGTTTGACATCGTTGATGCGGCGACAGGTCTGGTACCAGGTTATGTCTAGGTTGTCTAGGTGTTCCTGAATGTTAAAAGGCTTGTTTATAGTATTGTAGGTAATGGTGACACAATTTACAGTAGCTGATAACGAAAGCCGAGTTGGGCTGGTGATATTAGTGTTTTTAGCGGGTGGGGGCAGGGTAAAAAACTTTTTGGGGGTGGATTTAATTTTTTATTGAAAGTTAAGGAAAAGGATCAAAATTTTAAAAAAATTTCAGAGGGCGGGGTAAAATTTTTGTTTTGGGGGTGGATTTTTTAAATTTTTTTTGAATTTAAAACGATGATTTATAATTAAAAAATTTTTTATTGCAAGGGGGAAGGTAAATTTGAGATTTTTTTACCTGAATTCGCCGATCAATGTCTCTGACTTCATTAGCTTGATTGGCAATATGTTGTTCATGGTCCAACTTCTCTTGGAGCACTCTCACTTTGCTTTCTTTGTCAAACTTGTTGTAGATCTCCTATAAAAGGCTTGTTTTTTGAGGTTTTAGTTAGCATTTGGAGGAGGTTCCTATTTTACAATGTCTACGGTTGTAGAGTAGTCGTATTTTACTGTTCTCTCTATGAACAGAGAGAACAGTAAAATACGACTGCTCTATGAATTGAGAGGACAGTAAAATACGATTACCTGTACTCTACGCTAACTATGAGATTGAGTAGTTAGGGTAGGATATAGGCGTTTGACTCTCCAGAGCTACTCATAGTTAAGGTAGAGTAGGGAGTGACACTTCAAGCCAACCTTACCCTAATTTTCTCTGGTTGCTGTCGTACCCATTCCTCCAGTTTCGATTTTACTTCACGTTTTGTCCATTCAGCACGATCAGTAATAGCTCTCGCTTCATAAGCCTTTAGTAATGGCAGTTTAGGGTAGAGTGGGCCGTAGTAATAGTGTTTACCCACATAATGTTTCGGACCATGAGGTTTTTCGTCCCAATTGTTGTAGTTGTTGTAGTCTTGAGCTGAGATGAGGGTAGCAAAGGTTGTGTATAATATGAGTAGGAATAACATTTTAGGCTTTTTTAGTGCAGTTTAGGAAACTTAAGATAGTTTTTTGGTTTTAAGGTTTCTCTACAGTAAATTATCAGATTATAGACTTGAGTGACGAAGCCTGAAGGTTTACTTAAAAGTTTTAATATTAAAAACGCAGTAGAAATTTCAAAGATAATAAGTTACAAGCTTTGAACGTGAACAAACATATTCGGCTGTTTTTATATTAGTCGTGCAAGATTTGGCTACAAAGCGCAGCTACAACAAGCGTTAGCTGAATAAACAAATAGTAAAACAAGGAACTTTTCGATTGTTCTGGTATGTTTTACAGACCAATAACATATAGTTAGGCACTTGGTTTTAAGGAAAATACGTAATGAATTGTTAGGCGTGTGGGTAGACCTGAAAAAGGGCGTACTCAGTGTCTTGCCCGGGCCGGCCTGGAGCGTTTTTCACAGGTCCGGTCCGGCGATTTGGGTCCGATCCAAACTTCAATTTTTTTGGTCCGGTCCAAACCCAAAATTTTTGTTTCGGTTCGTTTGGTCTTGTCCGGACCGGACCGGCAAAACACTGGGCGTACTAGATCCAGCCAAGCCAGGCCGAAGAAAATTTGAAAGCGATCAGGGCCGGATGATACGAATCCGATGGCCGGTACCAAACCAAGGCTCCAGGATGCCAGCTTAGGACAGCGCTACCAAAGACTTGACTTGCGGTCAATTGGGCCAGGCCGCTTTACCGGTCGTGATAGGGGTTTTTTAAATTTTTTTAGAGGGGAGGGGGACTTGACTTCATGCCACTTTTTTAAAAATTTTCCTTGGCTAGCGGAGGGAGGGGAGATAAAAGGTTGATTGAAAAAAACCGAAAATTACTGAAACATCAATGTTCACTTTTCAGTATGATACCGACATTGTACCTACCCTAAAAAAATTCGTCATGTTGCGGTACCGACAAGGAAGCTGCATTTTTAAAAGTGCAGTAAAATTTGAGACTGTTTGGATGTTCATACTTCAAAGTCTGCCAACACAAAACATACAAAATTCTATGCTAAAAACATTTTTTTTTACCTTTCCATGCTTCACCATTGTACGTCATTGAAAGTCTGGCGCAGTTCCCAAACTATAAACGCTAAAACAGAAAAAATGTAAAGCTACCTCTTATGCTGTCTCTACTTGAAACACATACTAACTACATTTGAAATAGTGAAAAAATTTTGGACACGACTGTCACACAAAAACGGTAATTTAATTCAAACTCTCACGGCCGAAACAGCGGCCGCAAACATATCGGTTTTGTAAATTTTTAATTTCGAGCTTTGGTATATATAAAGCTGAAGGTGATGGTGTATTTAAAACTCATGGTTGGTAGTTGGCCAAAAAAAATGTTGTCTACTACACGTATATAAATATACAAGCTTATTTTAGCTCATATAAAGGCTTTTCTAGCTAAATGTTTGCTTTTTACTGTGTTTCTATTCTAATTTGCCTAATTTTTACAGTTTTTTCTACATTTTTTTGAAATTTGATCCGAAGTTTTCAAATTTCTATTGCAAAATACGAAAGTTAGAAGTTTTCGTACCGCATCTAGATTATTATACTAGATTCTAAGTTAAAAATTGTTATTAAAGCACTATGTCACATATACGTGTATGTTGTTGTAAGCCAGAATTGAATGTAAGTTTGTCATTTGGTTTGAATATGCCTAAACTAAATAACTCAAGCCTATTAAAAGTTTGTTAAATAAAGTTTTAATCTTGTCATGCTTAATATTACTAATGTTGAGCCTAGTAAAGGTTTTTTAAAACTTCGGCTTTTTAAGCCTAGTAATTCTAAGCTTAATAAACCTAAGTTTATTAACAAATTTAAGCCAAATTTTGCTAAGCCTATCTTCTAAGCTTACATAGAACAAGCATCTAAAGTTTCGAAAAGTTAACAACATATCTGACATAATTTATGCGGTGTTATCCAACATTAATGAAAACATAGCCTCAGAGAAATTGCGAGAAATGGTGTTACGCAACTTTTTTTTCTTATGTAATATTATTTATTTTTGTAATATTTGCCTCAATGAAAAACGACCCAACAAATTACTGCTGTGCTGGGATTTTACTCTGTTTTTCTGCGAGGAATCGTATTTCATTTCGGCATATTTTACATTTTCTGAAACAAAGACGCGTAGCTACTGAGCCTAAGCCTATTTAGTTCATGCATAGTTCTACCCAGTCTAAGCGATCTAAGTCTAAGCCTTCAAGTATACGCTTCCTAAGCTTAAGCCTCCTAAGCTTACTAAGCCTATGCTTTCTAATCTTTTAATCAGCTCTTAAGCTTTCTAAGCTTGCGGCTTCTAAACTTAAGCTTAATAAACTTAAAATTTAAGCTTGAGCTTAAACTAGCTACTTTAAGCTTTAAAAGTTTAAGCCTAATAAGTTTAAGCCTTCTAAGCTTAAGCGTACCAAACCTAATTCTTCTAAGCCTAAGCTTACTAAGAGTACCTACGCTCATTACGAATTTTGTTTTAGTTTCTGGTTTTCACAATTGCAGTATTGTCAATGTTTTTCGGTGTGACAAGTTTATTTGCATGGTGGATCGGCCTCGGTGTGAGTGCTTTGATTGGCGGTCTTATACTCGTCGCCTGTGCAGCTTGTCTTATGTATGCTGTGCAGACTGGAAGAAATAAGTTTTACTGGCCGTTCTTGGTTTGTAATGTAAGTTTTGACATTTTTACGCAGTAAATCTTACTGTACTTGTTGTATATGAAGTTAGGAGCTCTACAATTAGCGGTATTACTTTTTACTGTGTTATTACAGTGATATTTGGTATACATAGTACATTAGTAATTGGTATATAACGTGTTAATGTAGGTAACACCGCACTTTTCAGCTACTATACATCATTATCAAAGTAGTGCTGTTAGTAATTTCTTGGTTATCATACTATAACAACCCAGCGACTAAAGACGGTCTTTCTGCTGAAGAGAGTGCTGAAGGCAAGGATCCTCTACATGATATGAAAATCATACTGCCGATTGTAACAGCACTATATTCCATTGAAATATTATTACAGATTTGGTTTGAGTATGTTGTGGGAAAAAGCTATCGAAGGCTGGGGATTCCTTGAAGATTTAATTGGAAATGCATGATCATTAGGCCTATAAACTGTATACATTATGATTGTTTTTTCATTTTGTTTCTGTTGAAGAATTTTTTGTTGTTTTGATGATTCTACAATTACAATAAATAATATTTTTAAATTATTTTAGCTGAATTTGGATTCCGAGTAATTGAGATTTAAGCGTTTTTAGGGTAAAGCCATGATAGGGATAGGGCAAGGCAGAAGAAGGGTAGTGCAGACTAGGGTAAGTTAGGATAGAGCAGCATAGGGCAAGGCAGGGTAAGGTAAGGTAGGGAAGACCAGAGTAATAGGGTATGGTGGTTAGTGTAAAGTAGAGTAGAATAGTGTAAGGTTTAGTGAGGTAGGATAGGAAAGGGATTAATTCAGGTCAGGGCTAGATCACCTCTATGGTTAAGGTAAAGACCAATTATAAATAGTAGATCTCTTTATCAAGATAATGGGCTATGGTAAGGCTACGGTTAGATACAGTATTGGGCGCTGGGCTTTTGGGGCCTTCATATAGCTTTGCTTGGGCATGCACGACCCTATCCGGATCCTTTCAAATTTTTTTCGGGCAGGCCCTTACAGGGTATCATCCACCGTTTTAAAACTATTATTAGAGAAAGAAGTTCTGTCTGCATTTGGATTCAATATTGTGTTGTCACGACATTTTAAGACATGGTAATATTATGAATTCATTGCAGGTTCTCATGCTTGTTTCAAACACGTTTTTCCTATATTTTTTTTTGTGAAATACTGACTGTTTGAATAACATTGTATTGATTTTTGCCTTTTCTTCCAGGTTTTTTACGAATAAGATCGGAACGCTGTATTTTACCTTATCACAGTACTTACTAGTTTGTGCTGGTCTACTAAGCACTATACTTCATCTACGGTGTTTTGATTGTTCACAATACTATATCTTGTTCATAGTGCTGTATTATAGTATACAGTGGAACTCCTCTATAACGAACTTCTCTATAACGAAACTCCTATATAACGAACAATTTTTAAATCCCCGTTTACCACTACACAGTGCATTAAAAACTCCTCTATAACGAAACTCCTTTATAACGAACAAATTTCAAGTCCCCGAGCGATTCGTTATACAGGAGTTCCACTGTATTGGCAAACATTTCTTTTGTCATTTAGTACTCGTACTATTGTCATAGCTAACAAAAGGGTCTGGTAAAATGAGAAGATTATCAAGAGCAGTTTTAAACCCAAAAAATTTGCCATCAAGAACCTTTTCGACCGAATCTCATGCTAGTTTAATGAACTTTGTCGCTCAGGTCAAAGAATATGGCAAAGAACGACCGAAGTGTTTCTGTCGATATTTTGTGGGCACAGAGATGCATGCTCTTCAGCAGGCTAGTACTGTAAGTATCTTATACTTGAAATTTAAAATTTATATTTTTTTAAATCTTTTCTATTTTTATGCTCAAAATACAATGAAAGTGTAAACGAAATTGATTTTTATAGGCCCAAGACAGATTATCACAAGGCTTTTGGGCATCTTTAATTGTGTCGTTTTTGATCATATCGATAGTAATGACTAAAAACACCTACGGTGACTTCTTAGACAATCAAATATTGACTACTTTCTCTATTAAACAGGTAAGCCTACCCCAACCCCTACACCTGCCTCTATCTCTACCATTACCATAGTACCCTACCCTACCGTAGAATACTCTATCCCACAGTACACCACACTATCAGATGCTACTCTACTGTACCCTACCCTAGTGCATTATTACCTACTGTATGCTACTGTACAGTTTTCTATCCTTCATAACCTTACCCTACCCAGCCCTATTCTTCCTTACATTACTCTACTTATCCTACCCTACCATACCCTACCATAATCTTACCCTCAACTTTAATTTTAAAACTTACAGGTTGGAGAACTAGAATTCCCGTCAGTAATAATGTGTCCAAAGAATGCCGATGCCCTTCATATACATCTAGTCTACCGTGATATACGAAAACGTATGAAAAATATGACAGAAGGCGAGATGGACAAACTAATAGGCTATGCGATGGCTGATGCTGGCTTTGTTAATATGGATGAGTTTGTTAAGAATATGACAGATGATCAACATAAAGAGAAGACAAAGTTGTTGAACCAATGGAAGGGTAGAAGGACACCTGACAAGTTTTATCGAGATCTCTTTCAAAAGTTTGGGTATAAATGTGAAGAGGTATGAATAGCGTGCCCTACCCTACTTTGTCCTATCCTATACTACCTTCCCCTACCCTGCCATAGCCTACCCTACACTACCTAATCCAGCCCTAGCTCTACCCCAGCTTACCTTATTCCTAACGTGCCCTAACGTACCCTACCGTACCATGCTCTTTTCTAACGTATTACGTGGCGACATAAGAATCCGCCATTTTTTACAGAAAATTACAAGAAAAGTATGGCGGGTTCTTTATATCGGCACCTAATATCTTACCCTAGCGCTACTGTAGCCCTACACCAGCTCTGATCTAGGCCACCCTCCTAGCTCTACCCTTCTTTGACCTTACCCCTAACTTCCTCCGATCGTTAATTACTCGGTCCTATCGTACTCTTACTGTGACCCTACCTTGCCCTACTCTACTCCAACTTACCCGACACTACTACATCTTATCTTACCCTGCCCTACTCTATCCTATCCTTACCCTGCTCTACTTTACCTTACCATACCCGACACTAATATGCCTCTCTTTAGATGTTCAAAGAATGCAAATTAGGAGCTGAAAAAGTGCCGTGTTGTCAACTATTCAAAGAACATTATGTCATGTTGAGAGGACGATGTTTTCGACTGGTAAAGCTATTTCAAGCCGATCCTGATTACCATGGTCGATTATACTTGTCAATGAAACAAGGACCAAGCCCGATATTGAGTCACGACAAAATGCAGGTAACTATTTCTTTTATTTGTAATATGTAGGTACTGTAGTTTTTTACAGTATTTTTAGCTTTTCACTTTAATTTTTCCGTACCCTACTCTACCCTGCCTAGATCACCCTACCCTAATTTTCAAATTTTTCTTGCTATACGACTATTTTCAGCCCCAAGTAGTAGCATACATAGCTCCACCAACATCGGACGTCTCCACTTTTCCTCGGTATTACCTAAACTACCAATCCTATAATTATCTCAGCGCTTCAGCTAAGAATTTGCGCCTTCGACCGGACGTTTCATCTTGTTTTCCATCTGACGAAAGACGTGGAAAAAACGCGTGCTATGTTAGAAGATGGCTGTATGAACGGTTCATCACACCTATGAACTGTACTCCATTTTATATGAACTACCGTGCTCCATGGGCTTCGGTTTGTGAGGTTGGAAAGATTGCCAAAATCTACTTTGACATCATTGATGTTAGCATGAATGGGACTAAGGTAAGTTTTGATTATTGTTATGGTGGTATGTTTGTAGTGTGGGGAAGATTAGGGTAGAGAACAATAGGTAGGGTTAGGGTACGGTAGTAATGGTCAATCTTTTTTAGTGTCTACCAGCTTGCACTCGTACTGACAGGTACTTCATTATATACACGAAGGAACATACCACATGGGATGTCAGTAAGAACGTGCCTGATTTCACATTGGAATTTGGATACACTGACCTTGAGGTAGGTTTTTTCACATTGCCTAGCCCTGCTCTGTCCTACCTTATCCTCCCCTGCTCCGTCCTACCCTACCTTATACTGCTCAGCAGTGTGCTGTAATACCCGACCCTACTCTACCTCCTAGCCTTAATGTTCAACTTTTAGTACGAACAGTACGAAGAAGTACTAACCACAACATTGCCAGGCTTTGTTTCTCAAATCGGTGGTCAATTGAACTTGTTCTTAGGAGTGACAATTTTGAGTGTTATCCAGTTTGGACTATCTTCTACAATTTTTATCTTTAAAAAATGGAAAGGCGTCAAACATATTAACCTACACTCTCATTTGAAAAAGCGATGAAATTGCTTTATCTTGCATAACTTACCATGACATTACTTTACCATATATAACCTATATTATTTTACTCATTGTTTATTTGTACTAAATTGAGATCGTATCACTGTAAAAATGTAAAACATGATTTCTTTTTATAAATTGTATTAAAAACATATAAAACTTAATGTTATAACAAGTTGCAAGCCTTTGTAGATATAGTAGAATCTGGATATTTCATTAATTTTACGTCGCTTCGCAGACCAGCAAACAACTCCGCGTAGCCGTCAATTGAATGAACATTAACGTCTAGAAACATTAGAAAGTTTTAGGATGATTACTTTATTCTACTACCATACTGTATTTTATCCCACTATGATCTATCTTGCTTGACGTATTTTACTCTACCCATCTACTTTGCTTCCCTTCAACAGATTACTGTTTTAAACCGCCTTACCCTACCCAAATACGCTATGCTTTAACCTACCCTACCTAATCCAAATAAGCTTACCTCTCTCTTTTCCAATGATTTCCCAAACTGATTTCTTGTAACTTTTGAGTAAGAAAAATGTTTCTTGAATGCCAAAACCACGTAAAGAAGCTAAGCCTTTCGACACAAATTCAAATCGTCCAGTTGTTTCGGCCGCACTAAAAATAGTTAAATTTGTATTTTAAAAGTACATGCCTTATACAAAAATTCAATTTTAAAAATTTTTACGACTCTTTCAATGTTCACTCTTACCTAACCACCTCACAGTTGACATGAACCCTCCCAAGAGGGCATTGATTCAATAATTGAGCAGCTTCGCCTACAGTAAGCCCAAACACACAGTATCGTTGAGTTCTACCGCCAGTAACTCCAGCAATAATACTGCCAGTACTAATCCCACATCTCATAGTCAATGGTTCATTATTCTTGTCCAAAGTACAATGAGTTTCCCATTGTAACCCCAAGGCTACATGACACATTCGTTCACAGTGAGAATCTACGGCATCTGGAGCGCCACAAATCGCCATGAATGAATCTCCAACGACGTTAACCTTGTAGGCTTCGTGAAGTTTGATGATTCTGTCGTATTTGGTTAGAAGCTTGTCGATGGTTTGCATCAGTTCGGAGGGCTTGCCTTTGGTTAAGAGCTTGAGGATCATGGGGCAGTCAACTACCATCACTGTAGCGCTTCCAAAGGAGTCTAAAAATGAAGTTTTAAAAAAGATAATGATAAATTTTTTCTGTAGTATAGGTATGTTACGGTAAAATAAGTACTTACGAGCCTCCCAAATGCTTCGGTCGATGACCTGCTTGCCCAAGCTTTTAGGAAATGTCTCATTGATCAAATCCTCCAATACTTGGTTAGCTTTTTCTATTTCTTCTTCAAGTTTCTCCGCTTCCAAGACTTGTCGATTCAAAATATTCTCATCTTTGTTGTCTCCACTCCTTGTTTCATTCAAGAACAACATATCTCGTGTCGAATCGTGTAAAGGTATCTCTGACAGTCGTATTCCATATTTGTATAGGTCATTGACAGTAGAAACGAATGGTGATCCCATAAAAATGATTTCTTCACGGTTCTCTATTAACATCATTTGACCTGGAAGTGAAGGCATATATTGGCATATTACACTTGCTTTATAATAGTTTAACCCACGTTTTTAGCTCCATACCCCCAAAATTTACCCCGCCCTACCTTTCAATTTCATATGTTGAGTATGAGATGTTAATTCAGCTGATCCTTCGAATGTCAAAACCTTGTTATTGCCGGTTTCACTAGCAACAATCGCTTGAGTTTGTAGTGGTGAAGTTCGAACCTGAAGGATGAATACGCCATTGATAAAATTATAAATTCCATCATAATCCAATGTTATCATTGGCCGATGAATTTCGAAAATTCGAGATATTGGAGTTCCTGGCTTTGTGTGGTCTTCTATCACGTAGTTACTTAAAACATTCATGTTATCAAAGCTCATGCCTTTAGTTAATATATTTTTATTGTTAAACTTAATTTATTGTTTTCTTCAAGTTTTAAACGAAAATAACGATCGAAATATGGCAATGAAGAAGGAATTTTTTGAAAAAATAAGGAAAAATTTAATTTTTTCTCGATAAATTATTTTTTCGCCAAGCATGGATAACATTTTTCGTCCGTCCGCAAAGTCTTGATAATTAATTTATTTCTTGATTCATAGCTAAAATACTATATTCTGTCGGTTTTCCTATCTATTTTGATAAAATTTTCAATATTCTCACTAAATTTTTCAGTTTTCCTTCTCTTCTCCCACTTTCCAAAGATGGTGAACATGCTCATGGACGTTTTTGGTAATTTTTGGGCAAGAACAAAGGATTGATGAATTGAAACGGATCAAGAAAGATAATTTAAGTGTTTTAATTTTGTTTTGGTTCCGTTTTTAGATTTTATAGAGGTATCTCATGGGTTATATTATTATGGACTTTCAAATCTGATGTCATGGATAATATCTGGTCAAAAATGGATTTCTTTTTGTCTCAAAATACCTATTTTTGTTCTTAAAAGTTGCATATTGATGTGTTCAACAATTTGAAAGTAAAAATAACATGTTTAACGTATCATTCATCTTGCTTCACCTTACATTAACCATGAGGCTAAAATTGGAAGTCGGTCATAGACAATATTGGATTTAAATGGGTGTTTTAAGAACTCGGAAGGTTCTTTTTACTTTTAAAAGTTTAAACACATTAATAAGAAGCTTTTAAGTATAAAAACATGTATTTTGCGATAAAAAAAATCAGTTTGAACAGATATTATCCATGACATCTAAATAAATTTTCAATCCCTTTTTTCTGAATGATACCCCTTCATTCACCACCCATTCTCAATATACTCACCACAATTCCTTGCCCATTTGTACCAGCCGACTATCTTTATCAATAACAAAGTGATAAGGTGCAATGTGACAGAATTCTAGCTGATTTATTTTCAACAACGGTTCAGGCGCAACTTCAGCTCTATTCTTCTCGGCAACTTGTTCTAGCTCGTTTGTGTCTTGTCGATAAGATTGGGTCTTTTGTAACGGTACTGTTGGTTTGAAGGCGTCACGGATTGAGAAAATGACATGTTCTTCCACCTTTTCACCGGTCGGTAGTTGGACTATTCGTTGTTTTCGATTTGAAACGTTTATTCTAATGTCTTGATTGTAGAGTTGTTGAGCTACTTCGGTTAGGACGCCTGAAAAGAGGTTTTTTTGGTGTTAACGTATAGGACTTTTGATATTAAATTAGTGTTGTATATTATCTTATCATAAGATGAAAAATATCAAAGAATTTTCGATGTTATAGTAGCCGATCAAGCCTTTTAATCTTCACACCTTTAACAATAGGGTAAAGCCCGCTTCTCTCAGAGTAGTAATGTAAAGTAATCGACCCATCTTCTTCAGCTTCACATCGAAATGAAGGTCCCTTCAAGTTGGCCTTATATACAACATGGTCAATAAAGTAATGTAACGAGTCCAAATTGTCAATAAACCCTTTTAAATCTGGAGATATACATGATAGCATCTCATCCCAACCAATTTCCATCAAATAATTGACTAGAAAATGACCGTACTCTTCCCATAACATGTCATGATGAAGGCCTGTGGTATGGCAGACACTTTCGATCAAAATGTTGGTTGATTCATCACTGTAGTAACAGTTTATCGTCGCTTCTTTTCCTACCTCTAGATGGGCGTTTATACTAAAACGAGGTTGGGTTTTAGTAGTATGTGAGTCCAGTACGTTGTGCTTATGTTATAGGCAAAAAACGGCACAGCTAACCTCTGGATAGGGTTTGAGCTAAGACGTAGGCTATGGTTTAGGCTAGTGCGTAGACTAGGGCATAGGCTAGGGCTTAGGCTAGGTCATAGGCGTGGACTTTGGATAGGGATTCGGCTAGGGCTTAGAGTAAGAGCTAGGCTAGGGTTAAATCAAGGGCTTTGGCTTGGTATAAGTGAAGGGCTTACAATTGTATGATAATATAAAACTTACACAGCTTCATCCCAAGCTTCTTCACCATACTTTCGAATGATCATCTGTCGTACACTCTCGTGTACGAACCCAAACATAGTTCACTATTACAGTATTTACTATATTCCTACTTATACTAATAATCTAACAATAAAAAATTCAAAAATTTTAACTAAAAAATATTTTAATAAGTCACAAGATATAAGACACTTATATCCTCTTAAAGCAGTATAATAATGTCAATTAGGACCTAAAGCTTTAAAGCTTTGGATAATAGACCCTATAATACAATTATTTAGTCCAAAACCTGGTCCGAATTCGAGATTTTCATCCGCACTTTTAATTTTTAATGGATTTTTGTTGAAAGGAAGCTAGCGTGCTAACATTGGTTTACGCTAATAATTAGTACTCTTTTAGCAGAGGAACCTTCTCGATGTAACAATTATGATTATTATACATTCTAAAAGTTAAGAGGTGGAAATTAAGGATAATCTGAATTGGAAATGCTTTTAAAGCTTAATATTCAATGTATAGTTGAGACAATAAATATCCAATATTTTTAAGCCTAGAAGCTTATGTTTTGTATGGCAGGACAGGATAGGGTAGAGTAGGATAAGGTAGGGTTTGGTAGGATAGAGTAGCAAAGGGTAGGGAAGAACATGTTAATGTACGATATTGTAGGTTAGGGCAGACTAGAGTAAGACAAGTCTAGGTCGAAAACGTTATCATTGGGGTGGGCTAGAGGAGCATAGAGCTGGGCTAGGGCTAAATTATGGTAAGGGTAAGACAAGAGTAGGGCTACCATGGCTAGAGCAAAGCTAAAGTAATACTAGTACAAATAGATCTTTCACAAAATAAAGTCTCCAACAGTATATTTTCAAAAATTTATTAAACTGGAATGTTTGGCAAAGGTACACGATTAAAATAAAGAGACCAATTAATAGTCGTTCGAGTAACATCACATCAAAAAACATGGGTTTACATTACTGCACAGTAAGTGGAGTTGCTGTACTGTAAGTAAACTTACAGTAATTTAAGGTGAAATTTCAATTTTTTGGTTATTACTCAAGGCATTGACAAGGTATTTGAACTTAAAAAAAGAAAAAATTTTTCGAATTTTTAAAATTAAATTTTTTTTTAAATTTTAAAAATTTTTCAAAATTTCAAAAGTTTTTCAAAATCTACAAAACGCGTCTAGAAGCACTCATAGGGCTGTCCCTCTGTCTAGCCATGCGAGCCTGTGGTCTGTATTGCAATGGGTTGGCTGGTTCCGCCTCTCCTTGTTCGTCTACCGAAGCTCCGACCTCGGTCTGTTGAAGTTGGTGTAGCACGTTTTGTCGTCGTTCTTCGGCCGTCATTTGGGTTGGGATCTCTGGTCGTTTGGTCTCTTCCTTAGGGCAGATGATTCGGTACACCCAGATACGTACTCCTCCTTGTTCAGCACGAATGTTGGAGACGTAGTCGTACTCGGGACCGGCATGGTTTGACATTTCGCTTTTGCTAACCAGTCCTCCGGTGTAGTAGGATCCGGTTCCGACCAAATCGGTTCCAACGTAGATGCGGTTCGGCACGTTGATGGAACAGCAGCGGAGGAGGATGCTGGAATTTTAAAATTTTGTAAAGAAAGTTTTTGCCATTTTTCGTTTTGTGAAGAAAGTTCTTGCCATTGTTTGTCTTGTAAAGAAAGTTCTTGTCATTTTTTATTTTGTAAACAAAGCCCCTACCTCTGTCCATTCTTGCTCCATCTCATACCGCTGAAGATGTTATCGTTCTCACTTTTACATCCAGGTAGATCATCCGAGCATTGGGCACCAGTCTCACCACATGGTGCTGGTCCACATTCAGCTTCAATTGCTCCATCATCGAATACTGTAACTTTGTTTACGACCTGGTTTGGTCTACAGTAGGGCTCTTTGACTGGCGCTCTTTGAGCGGCGACTGATACGAGTAGGGCTGATAGGCAGACAAGTCGGAGCATTTTTAAAACTGGAAGGATATTAAGGTTTAAATTTTAAATTTTTGAATGGTTTTTGTAAAATACGAGCTAAAGATTTTAAGCATAAAAAATACATCCCTACCATACTCTAACCTATTTTACGATAAACCAAGATAAAAGCATAGAAAAATTATAAAAAATGGCAAAAAATCGACCAAAAATTTTTCAAAAAGTTGAACTTAGTCCCCCTGTAGTGTTTTTTCAAAAAAAAATTTTTTTAAGGCTGTTCCCTCTTTGAAGAAAAATGTGAGTCAATACACATAGTTTCGAAAGGGCATGGCTAAAATACATGCAAAAAAAATTTTTTAAGGATCCACTTTAAAATTTTTTTCAAAATTTTTTTTGGAGAAAGTCTTATCTTCCCCCCCCCCCTCCACCCTCCTTGCTTACTAAATATATACATCTTTGATGCTCTCTTTGCCACTTAGCCTTAACCTAAACTTAAAAACTCTGCCCTACCAAACCCTACTCTACCTTAACCTACCCGATCCTAATCTAACCTACCTTTACACACACTAGCTATGCTTTACTTGGTACCCTGACGCCTTTTTATTTATAAGGTTAAGCAGATGGTTTTTTCTAACCTTTTGAAGCTTCATTCTAACCTTCGGTAGTATGATAAGGTCATCGACTTTAATGAAAAGGTTATTGACCTTATTATTGTTAAAAAAAACTGAATTACAGCTGCATAAAACACCTGGTGTTACTTTAAAAACCCTACGCTAGCCTACCCTACTCTATCTTACTCTACTCTACAGTGCCCTACTCTATTTTACCTTACAATACCCTACTACCAACCTCCTAAAGTCAACCTGCACAGATGAACCTTATGTCATTTTATCAAAAATAAAGGTTGACCCCATAAAATAACTTCAGAAATGAAGGTTAACCTTATGTCATATCTTCAAAGAGAAAGCCTACTTCTATGTTAACCCATCAAAAATGAAGACTCATTCTATCTCTTAACCCTATAACCGTATGTCAACCCATCAAAAATAAAGATTAACCCTATGTCATCCTTCCAAAAACAAAGATAACCCCAATCTTCTCCGATCCCTAATTGAAACCCCTTAAAAACCGCCTTCAGAATCACAGGAAGACGATCCTTTTCTAATCCCTCCACCTTCTCGAAGCGGTGATTAGACCCAGCACGCTCCCGATCGAATAGGGGGGTTCGTCAAGGTGGGGCGAGAGCAAATAAGGTTAGCAATTCGCGGCGGCGCATTTTATGGGTCAGGGCTGATGCATCGATGGAAACGATGACCAGGAATGAGATCAATAAAAAATGGGAAAAGCGGGTCGCCGATACTCGAGAGCTGCTGCCATTCTTTCTTCCACATGCTTAAATATTTGCGAAAGCGTAGCGGAAGAAGAAAGAAGATGGTGAGATGAATCGTTGTCATGATTTAGGATTGAATACCGCTTTTTGAAACAGAGGGTATGGATTGGAATGGCAAGGTGTTAAGGTATCTTGTAAATGAAAAAAAATGATACAACACTATCAAAAAATAACTAAAATTTATAAAAAAAAAATAAAAAAAATTATGCAAAAATGCACAAAAATCTTTAAAAATTTTTAGAAAAAATTAGTACAGATTGTGACTTTGTATTTTACTTTTCCATATTGTGGATTAATTAAAAAAACGTTAGAAATATTACAAAAGTAAACTTAGTAAAAGTTGACCATTCTACAGTTCCCTGCCCTACCCTACCCTACCTTACCCTACCCAATCCTACCCAACACAACTCTATCCAACACTACCCTATCCTACCCTACCATACCCTGCCCGACACAACCCTTTTCAGCACTACCCTAGCATACAGTACTTTTTTCTTTTCTTACAATAGGCTTAGTTGTCGATCTAGCCAAGCCAACTCAACCCTAACTTGATTACACTACCTTACTCGACATTACCCTACCCTGCTCTATAATACCTTACCCTACTCAATAATAACCTACCCTACAATATACCCTACTCTACTCTATATTACCCTACCCTACTCTATATTACCCTAATTTATTCTATATTAGCTTGTCCCACCCTATTCTACCTTACTATTATCAATTCACTGTATCTCAGCCTAAAGTGCCCATAGTGAGCGGTACCCTACCATCCAAAACACTCTTCTAAGAACGCTCAAATTTTAAAAAAAAATGTTATGGCATTTCCTTTTTACGTATTTCATATCTTACTGTATCATCAGAATCCGCTTTAGATATATTGTAGTATGTAGTTTATGAACAAAGTAATTCCTTGTTCCTGCAACCTGTATTTCTCACGTTTATGGCCATTTAGACAAATGTACACTAGGAACTCTTCATTTATTACCTAGAACTTATGTTTTTAAATACAATTTCAGTACCAATTCCTTGCATATACAATTACATACATTTATAATGGTAGCCTTGTTAAATGCGTAAATAACTTTTTTTGAATAAATACATAACTCATTTAAATTTACATCTGTTTTTATTACCTTTACTTTGTCGACTTACATTTTTTCTTGTAATAATTTAATTTTGAAAAATTTGCTCCTTCCAACAATACTGTCTCGACCATTTTTCAATAAACATTTTTCAAATCATCCCTTTTCAGGTCAAAATGTCCCCTACCCCAACCCTAATCGTTAACATAACCATGCCCAACGTTATGTGAATCCTCTGCCTTTGCTTGACCATGCCCTGCTTTTACTTTACCATTCCCTGCTTTGCCATGCCTTGCATTTGCTTTATCATGCCTTGCATTTGCCTTGCCATGCCCTGCATTTGCTTTATCATGCCTTGCTTTTGCTTTGCCATGCCCTGCATTTGCTTTATCATGCCCTGCCTTTGCTTTACCGTGCCCTACCTGACCATGCCCTGCATTTGCTTTACCATGCCCTGCTTTTGCTTTGCCATGCCCTGCATTTGCTTTATCATGCCTTGCCTTTGCTTTGCTATGCCCTGTTTTTGCTTTACCATTCCCTGCCTTTTCTTGACCATGCCCAGCGTTTGCTTTACCATGCCCTGCCTTTGCTTTACCTTGCCCTGTCTTTGCTTTACCGTGTTTTGCCTTTGCTCTATAATGCCATGCCTTTGCTTCACAATGCTTTTCCTTTGCCTTACCGTGTCCTGCTTTTTCTTTACCATTCACTGCCTTTACTTTACAACCCATAAGTTTATCATTTTTGCCCCGCACATATGTTCATTTGTACCTACAGTATCCTTTCTATAAATTCGACGTAGAAAGTTGTAAACTTACACTTTAAAATATTTTATTTAATTAGAAATAGTCACGTATTCAGTTACAACTACACATACTGGAATGTAGTATGAGTGTAAAATGTCTTGCAAAACTTAAAAACAACTTTGTCGTAGTTTAATAAAGCATTGTAGTTCGACGTTTAATGTTTTTAAGTAGAATTTAGTGCAAGGGTACACGTTAACTACGTCAAATAGCCAAGGTACCGGCACTGCTTGTTACTACTCTTTATACTTAAGTTTTTAAGATCTAAAAATATGATTTGCAATGTAGAAATCCAAAAGACTTGACTTTTTACCTACTACAGTTATAGACTATATATACCATAGTGAAACGTTTAGTAAGTCAATGTTCTAAATTGTAAGTTTTGTACTTCAATTGCTCTTTCTCTACTGCTCTTCTTCTACTGTGCCATACCATACCCCATTCTTATCCTATCTTACTGTAGGACTAATTTTAGGTCTAACCTTCTCCAAGATAGACTAGGGTAGACATAGCCGTAATCTAGTAGTCTACGCTACCCTGTACTACCATACCATATTTGGTCTTACTCTGTCCCACCATACCCTATTGTACTCGATGCCTACCGTACTATTGCATTGGCCTACCCCACATCAACTTAACCTAGTTAGGCACGTTGCATAGATAAAACATAGCCTTTTATTTACTATATTCCATCTTACTCTGCCCTACCCTACCAGATTCTACCTTTCTCTAAATTACCCTACTCTATATTACCCTACCATGTTCTACCCTACTCCACCACAACCTGTCTCTACCAATTACGGCCTTGCATTACCCTACCCTACACTACCTTGCGCTACCCTGTATTACCTGTCATACCCTACCCGCTACCACCATTTTTTCGCTTTACTAGATTACCCTACCATATATTACCTTACCATGGCCTACCATATTCTACCGTAACCTGCAACTGCCAATTTTTTCCTTACATTACCCTACCTTGCACTAACCTGCATTACCCTGTCATACCCTGCCCTACCTTACCCTACCATCATTTTTTTCGTCTTGCCCTACCCTACCCTTAACTACTCGTCTACTTGCTCTCTTGAATCATCCCTCTGAATTTAGTTTCCTTTTTGTTTTCTGATTCAGCAAATTGTTGAAATGTTTGAAACCTCGAGCTGTTAATCTTTTTTTACATATCCATTTTCGCGTTTTCGCTTATTAAACAACAATACAGAGATGGTTTAACAAGGTGTAATGTGATTTTAGAACATGCTCTTACGTTGGGTGATATGCCTAACAACATTGAAATTGGTACCAGCTATTGAATTGAAGATCATCGATGACTACTTTTACACTATTAATGTTACTATTGGAAGCCCTCGTAGGTTTATACTTTAAAAGTTAAAGTTTTTAAGCCTAAAAATGGCTTCCAAGTCTAAATTTTCAAAAAAATCATAGTTTCGAAAGTTTAAAAATTTATTTTTTTTAAAAAACGAAAAATTTTTAGCTCAAAACTTCACCCTAGCCCTGGATATTACAGCGAGCAATACTGTGGTGTATGGAAACAGTACTGCGTTAGACTCATTGCCATCAAATGAACGGGTCTTTTATGAGCCATAGTAAGTGTCCAACTTACCCCACCCGACCGTATCCTGCCCTATTTTACTTAAACCTACTCCAGTTATCATACCCTAGCATGCCTTGTCCTTACCTTACCTTTCCCTACCTTATCCTACCCTACCCTACCCTACCCTACCCTACCCTACTCTACCCTACCCTACCCTACCCTACTCTTATCTACTCTACCTTATTTTACCCTACTCTACCCTATCCTACTAAAACCTACCTTACTCTAGTCTACCGTACTCTACTATACTTTGTCCTACCCTGCTTTTCTTTATCAAAACACATCAATGCATCACCCTTCGTGGTCTATAAATTTTTTCTACCCCAGCTACGTCTTTGCCACATATTTAATATACCATACCCTACTGCCGTCCTATTGTTCCAAAAAGCTCTATATACTTGCTATATCTTTGTTATACCTTGCCCTATTTTTGCTACCCTAGCCATGCTCTACCTTTGTCTCCTTTGTTACATCATTCTAACTAACCCCTCATTCATTTTCAGTAAGTCAGATACCGCCCTAAAGTTATTTCATATACCTGCAAATCAGTCATACTCTGGTACCCTAACATCGCTAATCAAATATGACACTCTCGTGTATGCTGATGCTTTTTCAATAAATGGCGAACCATTCGGAATCATTCGATTTGTGGTTGTACAGAACTACGACTACGGTACATATTCGTATCTACCTACGAATGGGTTAGTTGGAATTGGAGCGGACATACTTCATCATGGTCTTGGGCTCATGTCTAACATACTGCACCTCAAGAATGCTTCTGTTGTGTCGTTGTATACACCTAGGTATGTGAGGCAGAGATATTAGGGCAAAGTGTCGTAAAACAGTGGCAGAGCATGGCAAAGCAAAGGTAGAGCGTGGTAAAGCAAATGCAGGGCATAGTAAAGCAAAGGCACAGCATAATAAAGCAAAGGCGTGGCATGGTAAAGTAAAGGCAGGGTATGATAAAGCAAAGAGAAGACATGGTAAAGTAAAGACAGGGCATGGTTATGTTGAAGGTAGGGGTACTGCTTCATAGGGGACTATACTGTATTTTACTCTAATTGCATGCCATTTTAATCTTCAGAGACACCCAAAATGAAAATGCACACATAACTTTCGGCCCGGGAGCACCTCATGTTAACTGTGAACCGCAGCGTAATTGGACATTTTTTGATTCCTACGACCATACCAATCGAATCAATAAACTTTTTGAAATGAAATACACATTGTAAGTTCATCTCCTATAATACCCATTCTTTTACTATCTCAACATATCATTTTTTTTATGTTTACAGCACCAAATACGGCAACACATCAGTAAAACTCTCAAAATACTCATATTTTGCACTATCAACCCTTACATCGTATGTTACTGTCCACAAATTCATGTTCAAAACCATAAAATCGGAGTTAAACTCAACTTCAGTAGTTGCAAGAGGATCAACGATCGAAGTTGTCGATTGTAAATGGAAAACCACTGCCCCCAATATTACACTTGGCAACGAGGATATGCAGTTCGATATACCTTCGGAAGATTATATTGTTGAAACTGTAGGTTTGAAATTTGGGTAAAAAATTTTTTTCAGAGAGCGGGGTGGGTAGATAAAAATTTTTTTTTTCGAAAAAAAAATCCACAGGGAGGACTATGTTGAACTTTTATCCAAAAAAATTTTAATCCGAGAAAATTAACTATTGTAAAAATTTTGTACTTTTAAAGTCAAAATATTCTTGCCCTGCCTTTTTTATACCTATCTCTTTTAGGAACCCAACTACTGTATCCTAAAAGTGCGTGAAAATGTGGCCGCTGCTAACCGCCGTTGGGTATTGGGAGTGACTTTCCTCAAGTCATATTGTGTTCAATTTGATTTGAGTGGGCAAAAGGTTGGATTTGTCTCATCAAACATGCCATAATCTATCTATTTAAATCTTCTTATATTATTATTATTATTTTCTTTACATTTCTGTTTTTTTAAGGTTTGAAAGCTATAGTGGCTACTATAACATAACTTTTACGTGTAGATAAGTATTTTTATTGATAGTGATTATTTTTAAATTCTCAGTATTATTTATTTACAATTATTATATTTTTCCTTATTTTCTAGCTCTAATAACGTATCTTTTTGTTTTTGTTCATTATATTGCTCATTGCATTATCTTTTTATAATTTATTTGAATTTGCAAAACAAAGTAACAATAAAGTATAACAAAATAACAAAGTGAAACCCTTACATTTTCTTCTTCTTATGCTTATTTTTGCCCTTAGGATGTTTGAATTCAGGTTTTGCAAAAGTTGGCGGAAGTTTTTCAACTTCTACCTATAAAGCAAATTTTTATTTTGTCCATAAGGTTTTAGCCCGTTTAGTCGGTAATATCATAATCCAAACAAGGAGAACAAAACCCAAAATACTTACCTTTGTCTCGGCTGTCAATTCCAGCTGTATTACCAGCGGTTCGTCCTTTCCAATCCCAATACAAGACACTTTAGGCATGTTCAACAAGCTCTTCAGCTCTTCTGACAGCGCAGTTGCTTTGTAGAAGTCGCATGATCTACTAAAACAAGCCTTTATATTCTCCTTATTCCTTAGCAAACCAAAAGTAAGGTATTAAAGCCACTACAGAGCTATAAACTTCAATATTAACAATGATACACCACATGAAAAAAATAACTTACTTGCAAGACACCAAGTCGAAAACCTGAGCAACTGCTGATGGTGCTATCACCTTCTCGTCAATTATTATAGCCCCAAGGTTGTTTTCGTTCAACTGCCGAAGGGCTGTTCTCATTCCAATGTATAGTTTGGGCTAAAGTTATTTTAGGTACACCTATACATAATTACATCTCTTTATGAACATACTTCGTCTTCAAAACCAAACAAAACCCGTTTAAAACTAAGAAGAATTGTTTCTCCATTAAATTTTCTTCAAAATGATACCAATTATGCTTAATATTCACCTAAACGTCAAGCAATAATATCAAAAATTACCTTATCAATATTCTCCATCTCGACATCTTGTTCCTTAACAACTTCTGAAGATGTTCCTGCCTTTTCTTCTGCTTTCAGCCTCCTCTTCAAGCCTTTAGAAGTTTTTCTAGCCAATTTACTATCAGAAACAACAGCTTTCAAGTCGGATAAATCAGTCAAAACAGTCCAATTGCTCTTCGACTTTACTGCAGACTTAATATATGGCTTTAATATTTTAGGCTTGGCCATTATATACAAATTGAAGTTTAAACTAACTATATCAAGTTATTTTCACCACAAAAATATATTAATCTTCAAAAATTTTTTATTTTCGTAAAGTTTCGGCGTATAAAAAGAGGTTTTCCTGCATGCGGCCATCTAGTCCGACTTGCGCTTTTGATTTCTTTTGTTTCGGGCGCAGTTATACTTTAAAAAATTATTTTATATTTATTTTTCCTATTGGATAACAGATTAGTTATCTTGGCCATTTACTTTTGAATTCTCTTGTTTTTGAAGTCAAAAAGCCTCATATTATCTATGACGACAACAGAAGAATCTTCAGACAACGCAAAACTGTTTTCTGAAGCTATTAAAGATGCTTTGAAAACTTCAGAAGATGCATTAAATTCAGCTGAAGCTATGAATAAACAGATTGAAGGTCTTTTATCTGGAGAAGGAACTGGTGGCATTAGTTTGTATGATTTGAAGAATCATGAGTTATCGGCGTATTTACTGAATGTTGGTGTTCTGATGGGCAAGATGTCGCTGGGGGAAAGTATTGAAGGTTCTTCAGCTTTGGATGAATTGGTTAAACTTAGAGTTGTAAGTTCTTTGTTAGTTTTTGCTTAATTTTAGATTTCAAAGAGATGTTTTGGCTTTTTTAAAGTGGTGATAATGTAAAATAATATATGTATCTTGTCGTGATGTAAAACACTATCGATATGGCCTTATTTTGTAAAGGAAAGTATTCTCTATAATTCTACTACAATTTCAGGTGTTAGAAAGGATAAGACCGATTGAAAAGAAGCTAAAAACCCAAATCGATCAGCTGTTGCGTGGAAATAATGAAGAAGATAAGGAGTTGACGATGCACGCTCGACCAGACATGTTTGATGCCGAAGGAAGTGGTTCAGAAGAAGGAGAAGGTGATGATGAAGACACTAAAACATTGAAGAAGTATCAACCACCAATGATTGTGCCGAGACATTTCGATGAAAATGGCGAGGAAAAGCGGGCTAAACAAGTAGGTGTTATGATTTTGATTTTTTTGAAGTTTAGGTATATTATGGGACAAAATGGATGAACAGTGTTGTTGATATGATAATTGACAAACTTATGAATGTAGTTTTATAATCTTGTTGGCTTTACTTTTTATGGGGCGTGAAGTTTTTCATGCTCAACGTATTCTTGTTGATGGTGACGTTAGGTTTTTGAATTTTTCTTGCTTTCAGTTAAATTTTTGAAAATTCTTTTTAATCTATTTGATAAAAAGGATAATTTGCTTGCTTTATCATGGGTTGTCAGTCAAATATTTTTATTTATTTTTGTTTTACTTTAACAATAAGATAAAATACCTCATTTCAGCTGGAACGAGCCCGCAAGAAGGCGATGCAGTCCTCATTGATTCAAGATCTTCGTGCTCAATACTCAGATGCTCCAACATTGATACGCGAAGGTCCAGCGATGAATAAAATGCAGCGAGAACAGCAAAGATTCGAGGAAATGAACTACACAAGGTTAACATTGAACAAACATGAGAAGAAGATAACAAAACGCAAAGAAAACATGGAAACCTTGGATTCGTTGTTGAAATTTGGAGATTATATGGCTATGGACACGGTGTTGGAGCCAGGACAACAGAAGAAAAAGGTCAGAGGGCAAAAGAGGCGAGGTCAGCCGACTAATAAGAAGGGGAAGAAGAAGAGACGATAGGTGAATTTTGAAATTTTTTATTAAGGAATGTTGTTATATTGTTTTGGTTACTGTTATAAAATTGTTGAGACTTGAAGTTTAGGTAATATTTGATAAAGGGAAGTTGAAAAAAATTGATTTTTGAGGTTTTGTAGGGTCGAAATGGCGAAATTTTAGGTATAATTGAGTATAATTTATGTTTTGAGTCATTTTTCATCAAGGTGTTTGTAAAAGATCTATTTAAAATGCTGATAAGCACCTTAAACTTTGAGGATTTACATACATTTATTAAAATTTGGCAAAAAAATTCAAAAATTTTAAAAAAATTCAAAAATATTAGGCATCTTCAGTAGAAAGCCTGGTTTTACTAGCCAATGTAGTTGAACTGATGATTTTTGTATTCTTAACACCGACCATTTCGAAAAACTTGCGCCGATAAGTGGGTATAGCGCTGAGCAATGTCAATGAATTGGCTATAGGCAGCAGAGTGATGGATAATGTTAGGACTTGAGCCAAAATTGGACCCTTGATATGTAGGAATGTGAAACTTAAACCAATAATATAGGGTACGCCTATTAGGATGAATGGGAACACGGCCTGAAAATGGGATTTGTGAGTGAGGATAGGTTTAGAAAGGGCATTTTTTTGTGAATATTGGTTTAGAAATGGCATGTTTTAACGAAAACAGGTCTAGAAATGACATTTTAAAATGAAAATACGTCAAGAAATGGCATTTTAACATAAAATGTTACCTAAAATTTGAAAAATTAAGAACATTTTTTAAAAATTTTTAAAAGTGTTGCCCAAAATGACATTTTCATCAAAAATGTTACCTAAAATTTAAAAAAGATTAAAAAGTCCCATTAGTACCAGTTGTACCACTTTTAACTTACTTGAATAAGCATGGCACGATTCAGTGTTTTATTTGCTTTCATGGTGATCTTGGACATTTTTGAAGTTTTATCACTCATTTCACTGAGAATTTTGAAATAACAGTACGCTACAACACCATAAACACCAATTATAAAAGCTTGAGATATCACTAGGTGAACTAGGCATTTGAATTTTGTCTGAAAAGTTGATTTATATTGAGTGGAGGTCAAGGTTTATAGTACTGTTATCCTAAACCTACCCCTAAAACTTTTTTTTACCCCAACCCTACCCCTAACAACAAAAACTTACTGGATCAGACACAGAGAATGCCACTTTTCTGCCTTTAAAAAAGGCATCGTTCTCCAATTCCTTGGCATACGCCGGGTCTTCATCACTTCGAATCCAAGAAAACACCTCTGTATAAGCCAAAACAGTACATACGCCCATACAAAAAGCAAACCCAATATAAGTCTCCTGCTTTGTACCAGGTGTACCCTTAACAACTACTTTGTATCGATGGTAAAATTGAAAGCCAATGTTCATTATGGCCGAGTAAACACCCATCATCCACAAGGCTGATAGGTTCATTGCTGTGGTGTTTGATATCGAATGAAATAGTGGGTTGTCATTTATGAAAAACAGGCCTGCATCTCGCATTTGACATACCTATAACAATATTTTTTTAAAAATTGAACTTTTAAAAAATTTTCAACATTAATTTTTTTTTAAAATTGAAATTTTAAAAATTTCTAAAAAATTTTGAGAAGTAAAGAGTTATTTTAGATCAAAAATGCTATTTATAATTTAAAATGTCATTTTCAAAGGAATTAGGTGTTTAAAAAAGTCTTGTCGTCAATTTACATTACTTTGCATTATAAAAAAAGACAAGACTTTTTTAAACAGCTTTATAATTCTAAAAATGTAATTTTTTACACTTTGTATATGAAAGTAATGAAAAACAGGCCAACCATACTAATTCTACATACCTACAACAATATAAATCACATTTTTTAAAATTTTTTAAAAAAATTAAAATTTTTGAAAAATAGGTAGTAGTTTTGCACTAAAAATGTTAATTCTGGTTTAAAAATGGCATTTTTAATGGAATTAAGGGATGAAAAAAGTCTTGTCGTTATTTTACATTACTTTGTATGATATAAAACGGCAAGACTTTTTAGACTTTTATAATTAAAGAAACTGAAATTGAGGGTCATAAATCATACCTCCATGGTAATTAAATTGACGATGCAAAAGCACATGTCAGTAAATGTAGTACATACTACTAAAGTGGCATATGAGTTGAAGACATTTTTGTGATTTCGTGTAGCTACTAACAGTACGATTCCATTTATTGTGATGGAAATTAAAGCATTGACTATTTCAAAAGTAACGTGAAAGTAGTGAAAGGAGTTGTCTGGGAGAATATCTGTGATTTCGGACATCTGAAAATATTACTTTTTTAAGTTTAAAATGACCCTGATAATGAAAAATGGTCAATAATCAGTATTGGGCTAAAATTACGATAAAGGGCTTATAAGGCTTAAAAGTAGCAGTAAATTTACAGTTAGAATATACGGTAGGGTAAAGTAGGGTAGAAAATGCTACGCCGTTTTATGGCGCTTTAGGGTAGAGTACAATAGAGAAGGATAATGTAAAGAAAGACAGGATAAGATAGGCTAAAATCAATAGCTTTAGGGTACGGCAACTAGTCAGAAGGGTTGACCTCGAGTATTGTAGGGTAACGATACAGAAGCTTTTAAATAGGAAAGACATGCCACGCGGCACTGTATGTTACGGGCGCTGAATTGTAGGGTCTCATTAGGGTACAGTAATTAAGATAGACACCCTTCATGGCATATTATGTAGGGTAGAGTAAGGTAGAGTAAGATAGAGTAGGGTAGAGTAGGTTAGGGTGGGATAGGGTAGCGTAGCATAGGGTAGCGTAGGGTAGGGTAGCGTAGGGTAGGGTATGGTAGGGTAGGGTAAAGTAAGGTAAATTAGGGCAGGGTAGGACAAGCTAGGAGAGGGTTGAATAAGGTAAAGGGAAGCTAGAAAAAGCGTTGGCGGATGTTTATACACCTTCACTACTAAATGTAATAAAAACACTTAAAAATGATGTTATTATTGAATGAAACAAGTCAAAACCCACATAATCATTACCTCCACCCATATCAAATTTCTTAAAATAACAATGAACGTTCTTTATACTGCCTGCTACGTAGTATCATATATATATTCTATTACAATCTCAGTTAAGTGAATGCACATAGTGCAGAATATTCTGCACATTCATCTAACTTATCTGAATTTAATATAAATTATTAAAAATGGTAGACTGGGTTAGTCAAACATAATCAAATAGTTCTACTTAGCATGTTCATATAATACTTTTTAGTATGTTTAGCTTAGGCTATAACTTCCTCACACGTAGCTATGTCACTGAAATGGTATCAAAATAAGAAAGAAGATGACTTAGCTTGTTACATTCTTAATCTTGCAACAGTGTGTTTAATCTTTGGCAGATAGAAATTCTTAATTAGAAAAAAGATGTTTGGAATTTATAATTCAATGTCTTGTGACAATAAGTTGTTGCAATGTAAAAATAAAGACTATAAGTGTAAAAGTATAGTTAGAGCAAAGTAAACGGCTAGAATTTGGCCTTTTGGGTTAAAACTTGAACTAAACTTTAGACTAGGATTAAGTTTTGAGTTAAGCTAGGATTTACAAGGAAAGTGCCCTACCTGCCGAATCAGCTCAAAATTTTTATATGAATTCTTTGTACCAAGTATCCATAAAAAAATTTAGCTTGCGCTTTTGAATTTTAAATTTAAATTATTTGGGTTTTCCGTCAATTTGGCAAATTTGGCATTGTGTTTCAAGCACTTTTCGGCTTTCGAGACAAGACACGCTTACAAATTTAAAAAAGTAGGTTCATTTATAGGTTGTCTACTGATATATCAAAGAAAAATGACTAAAAGTCAAAAAATGGAAAAGTTACAAGCTTAAAACACAATGCCAAGTTAGCGGGAAATTCAAAATGTTATTGTTTAATCTCGATTCTCGAGATTTCCTGGAAAGCGCGATTTAGTACTTTGCTGAAGATCTTATATTTACATGACCATTCTATATAAAAAGTTCGATGTCAATGAGAGCGGGGCAGGCCGGATACTTTCCTTGTTAGCTATCTAAGGCTTAGGCTAAAATTAGGCTAGGGCTTAGGCTAAGACTAAACTCAAGTGAAGGGCTGAGATAAAAGGCGTGCTAGAGCTACCATTATAATGAATAATGCGCGCATAAAAGTACAAGAAGCGTGACCAAAGTTTTATATGTATTAAGTGATCACACGAATGTCTGACGTATTCTTTGTACATAATTGGTAATTACAGTTTCTTACTGCAGTTTAAATTTTACGAAAAAGTATAATATAAGGACAAGAAAAATGGCGACTATTTTTAGGCTTTCTACCTTACTCTGACCTACTCTAGCTTACCCTACCCTACAGTACCCTACCCTTCTCTTCTCTACCTTACCCTACCCTACCCTACAATACCCTACCCTATCCTACCCTGCCTTACCCTACCCTACCCTACCTTACCCTATCCTACCCTACCCTACCCTACCCTACCCTACCCTACCCTACCCTACCCTTCTCTTCCCTTCTCTACCTTACCCTACCCTACCCTACCCTACCCTACCCTACCCTACCCTACCCTACCCTACCCTACCCTACCCTACCCTACCCTACCCTACCCTACCCTACCCTACCCTACCCCTACCCTACCCTACCCTACCCTACCCTACCCTACCCTACCCTACCCTACCCTACTCTACCCTACCCTACCCTACCCTACTCTTCTCTTCTCTACCTTACCCTACTCTACCCTACCCTATCCTACCCTGCCACCCTACCCTACCCTACCCTACCCTACTCTACCCTACTTTACTCATCTTGTAACACCCCATCCGCTCTATTCTGACCTATTACCAAATTTTATACCTGTTCGATCCTTCCATTTTTCTGTCGTAACCTACCTAATCTACCCTGTCTGGATCTACTCTATCGTACTGTATTCTACTCTAATCTATCCTATCTTGCGATTCCTTATCACTGCCTGTACCCACAGAAAATCATGTCTGAAGTTTTGGATTTGACTTCAAAATTATAAGTTAAAACAAACTTTTTTTTGCAAAAAAAACTTTTTAAAAAATTGTGTATAATTAGGACCTATTTAGGACGAAAACATATATTATTTGTATACCCACATGTATACAAAAAGCAAGCAAATAGTACGTTAAAAACTTTTTCAAAGCAACTTTAAAAAAAAAGTCTTTTTAACTTTTGGACTTTTAAAAAAACTACCCAGCCTATATCAACTACTTTGTAATAGACTTGTAGAAAATTTAAAAAAAGTCTGTTACTCAGTAAGTAATAAAGTAAATTATGAATAATATAATAATATGTGTCTATTGAAACATATGCAGCAGGCTTAATGACATTACGTAGCAGAAAAGGCAGATTTCCACGTTTTTTAATGATTATACCTACATATTCATATAAGGTAAAGTGATGATGAAATTAGGCAATTTGCGTTACTGGTACCTTGGGGACTAATTACAGTACTTTTTTCTTATTAGGCATAACGTTATAGCTATGTATTTCATAAAGCATAAAGGTTAGGCTGTGAGAATTTGATGGAAGGGGGGGGGGAGAGAGGATAAGTGGGGTGCATCATTTTGAAAATAGAACCTCACGGCCAGCTTGTACTTAAATATTTATTACAAGCAACGGAGCTAAGTACTATGCCGTTCTACAAATTTGAACCCAATCTATAAAGCACTTTGATATATACAACATTAATAGTGCCATTTAAAATGCAATGTAATGTAGCTTATTACATTGTTTATGTCGTTTAAAATTCTAAGAAACAACAAAAATTGTTTGTTACGGGAAACATCGTTACGTATGGAAACTGTACTTTGCAAGTAGGGCACAGTGAGGGGTTGGTAGGATTGTTAGGACAGGGTAAAGTAGGATACAATATGGTAGGACAGAGCAAAGCAGAGCAGGACAGGGATACAAGGGTAGATAGAGCCTGGGAGAGCAGGATAGAGCACGGCAGAACAAGCCAAGACAAGACAGAGAAGGGCAGGGTAGAACATAATAGTAACATAAACCAAACCAAGACAAGTGTAGCCAATCCAAAGCATGGCGGGGCAGAGCAAAACAAGGCAGGGCAGCGCGCGGCAGGGCAGGGCAAAGCAGGGCAAGGTAAGGAAGGCAAAGCAAGGCGATGGTGTTGTAGGTTCTCTAGAATCGGTATACATATAATTTTTTTCTTTGCTTTAAGTTTCTACATTACTCTGTTCTTGATATCAGGCTTCTTTCTCATTTTTAACTTATATTGTTCATGTGAATCTATAAATACCGCAGTTTTTTCTTATTTTTTCTTTATCTCATCCTAAAATCTTGTTTTTTCATGCCGTTTTTTTAACTTTCTAACATGCTATGGGAGTATGTTCAAAATCTGACTCTTCCAAATCCGACAATCTGAAATGACTTTTTCTACTCTCTGCCATTACTTTTCATACTCAATTTCTCTACTCTCTGCCATTACTTTTCATACTCGATTTCTCTGCTCTCTGCCATTACTTTTTATACTCGATTTATTATTCGAAAAAAGGCCAAGTAAAGAACAAAGTTGTGGCCATTTTCTCATGAGAATTGTCAAGAATAAAGTGGAAGGAATTGTTTTGCGTTCCGTTTTCGGCCTCTCGCGTGTAAACCCAAAACTTTTCGGCCGCAAATTGGCCAAGAATACCCCTTCATTTGAACCGAACGGAGCGCAGATGAGGGTACTGTAATATTCATAATGTTGTTTGTTGGGAAAAGTAATATTTATAAGCTTGTTTGAAGGGGGAGGGGAGTTTTATTTGGAGAAAAGTTGTTTGTTGAGAAAAAACTTATTATTATGAAGGATAGGGGTTTATAAGATGGTGTACAGGCGGGTAGGAGGCTTGTAAAATGCTATTAGAAAGAGTAGAGGAGTTCATAAGATCTTATAAAGAAGGGGTAGGGCGTTTAAAAGATGTTATTATTAGGTGCTGACATAAAGAACCCGCCATATTTTTCCTCTCATTTCTTGTAACAAATGGCGGGTTCTTTATGTCGGCACCTATTAGGAGTTGTAGTGGTTGATAAGATGCAAGTTTTCACACGGTCTTAAAGGGCAGGACTAGAGGGCAGATGTAGAAATAAAATATTAGAGATGAGAAAAATCAGGACAGATATACGGTGAAATAAAAATTAAGGTAGGGCTAGAGCATGATTACGGTATGAGAAGTCTAAGACTTGAACTTGGAGCAGGACTAGTGCTTAGGCTTGGGTGTAAGTTAAGGGTTAGACTGAGGTTTAGTTTTAATCCTAAGCTTAAGATTAGGTTGAGGCTTGGGCTTGAGCTTTGGCTTACATAAGGATGAGACTAAGGCTAAGACTAAGGTTAAGGATAGGGATAGGGCTAAGGCCTTAGCCCTATCCCTATAGCAACTCTCAAGTGCTAGGGCTAAGGCTATGAGTATGCTAGGGCTAAGGCTATGAGTAAGGCTAAGGCTAAAGCTAAAGCTAAGGCTAGGGCTAGGGCTAGGGCTAGGGCTAGGGCTAGGGCTAAGGCTAAGGCTAAAGCTAAAGCTAAAGCTAAAGCTAAGGCTAGGGCTAGGGCTAAGGCTAGGGCTAGGGATAGGGCTAAGGCTAAGGCTGTGAGTAATGCTGGGGCTGAAGATAAGTGTAGGGCACACTTTCTTTAATTTCAAATTTTTATTTTATTTGTAATATCGTATTTTACATTCAATAACTCGACCATAATCGTATCCAGCCCCTATCATATCCGAATCTGAAGCCTATTATTCCCCAAAAATAACAAATCTTTTGTTTTCTTGCCCTGCCCGAAGACACATGAGGAACGGAGATGAATCCGGGGAGCGCCGGAAGCAATTTCAGGCCATATTAAGCAATTTTGTTCGGCAAGATGTCAATCTCGATTCGGTGTGTGTGTGTGGGGAGGGCTTTATGTGATTACTTAAGCACGCCCTAACGAATAAACAAAAACATATTCGCTTTTTGAAGAAACAGTCAGATTTTTTTGAGGGGAAAAGTCCTGACAATCGCGGCCTGCCACTTATTTTGACGCGTTTGAACCGCTTTTCCAAACGGGTTTTCGTTAACAAATACTTGGGTTCGGCTTTTTGAGTAGCTGGGAAAGATTGTCTAGAATATTTTTTTTTGAATTTTGTATGGTTACTGTAGTGAGAAAGAGAGAGGTGTGAGATGTCAAAGTAGAGCCGGGAGGGGGAAGGTAATTGGTGGGACGGGAAATGTAGGGTAAGGCAGAAAAACGTAGGGCAGGGCAAACCAGTCTAAACAAAGTATTTAAGGGTAGTGTAAGGTAAGGTGCAGTAGGGCAGGGTAGAACAGAAACAAACATAGATTTCTATTGTTTGATAGACATGTTAAGGTAGAGTACAGTAGGGTAAGATAGGGTACGACACGTTAAAAAAATTATAGTAGGTAGAATAAGATAAGTGTTCACTTAATTCTGTGCTCTTCACAAGGCACACTTGCGGAGTTCGACGTCTCAGACTTATGTGAACAACTTAATAATAGTATTGTAGGGTAGATAAGGTGCAGTAGGGCAGGGTAGAATAAGATAAAGTTTTGTATATGTAGAAAGGTAGGGCAGGATAGGGTTAGGCGAGGTACAGTTTTAGACTGTTTATATGGGTAAGGCGTAGGGTAGGGTAGGGTAGGGTAGGGTAGGGTAGGGTAGGGTAGGGTAGGGTAGGGTAGGGTAGGGTAGGGTAGGGTAGGGTAGGGTAGGGTAGGGTAGGGTAGGGTAGGGTAGGGTAGTAGGGTAGGGTAGGGTAGTAGGGTAACGTAGGGTAGGGTAGGGGGTTAGGCTAGACTAGGCTAGGGTAGGCTAGACTAGAATAGGGTAGGGTAGATGTTTATATAGTTTTATCAATTTTAAAAGCCCAGTAAATGTGAAAAAAGCTTGCAATTTTGATTTATTGACTGGTATTATAAAAATAAAAAAAATATAAAAAGAACTATTTCTCTTGCTTTCTATTCTATTTACTTCTTTTGTTGTTTTGAGTAAACAGCAAAACATTTTTTGGCATTCATTATTTAGCGCTCGTCTTGTTGTTTTTTCAATTTGTTATTTCAATTTTGGACAAAACATTAATTTCTAATTTGGGTATCTAAAAATAGGCTTGTTAATTTCGCCCTAGCCCAGAGCCCTAGCCTAAAGCCCTAGCCCAGAGCTTTAGCCCAGATCCCTAGCACAGATCCCTAGCCGAGAGCTCTAGCCCAGAACCTTAGCCCGGAGCTTTAGCCCCAGCTCTAGCCCAAAGCGCTGGTACAGAACTCTAGCTTTAGCCTAATACCTAGCCCAGAATCCGAGCTTTTATTTTAGCTTCAGCTATAGCCGTTTGTTATTAACTGTTCGGGCCAGACCACACAAAGACAAAAAAAGTTTAGGCGGCCCGGACATTACAAATTGCCGGATTAAACCTGAAAGAAATTGCCCATACTGCCCAGGCGAAACACTGTGTCCTAGCTTTATTCTTAGCCAGCCTCAGCCCTGACTCTAGCGTGTTACTTTTGTATGTATGTATCAGCTACTGACTTTTTTGATTATTTGCCCTTGCATTACCCCTTTCTTACTCAACCGCTTCTAAAATATAATTTATTGTCATTTCATTTTGCTATCCATCTATATATGTCAATATGAAAGATATGAGAAACTGTCATATTTATATGGCCGTCTGTCATAAGTGCTAGTTATGTGTAGTATATAAGGGTCGTACTATGAAGTATGATGCTTATTTACCGTTAGTGTATGGTAGGTAGGGTACGCAAGATCGAACAAGACAGGTTAGAGTAGAATAGTTTAACGTAGGGCAGGATAAGATAAATAGGGTAAGGTAGAGTAAGGTAGGGTAGGGTTGACACTGCATTTTATAAAATTACGTGTAAGCCTACCATGTAACCCGTCACATCCTACTCTACACACCCCCCATGTTTGTCTTAATGTTTTAATTGTAAGTCAAGTTCAGGGGTCGGTTTTGGCCCCGCACAAACACACAAAGCCGCCCAAATTAAAAGAAATTAAGCAAAGAAGAAAAGAAGACGATATTCATTTTTTGTGCATTCAATTCCGAACCTCGGTTTCTGAAGCTTGTGTTGACATCGAGACAACAACATATTTCTCTCTATTTGCTCGAGGGGATTTGTTTTTCCTTTGGAACAAGTTCGGCAGGGGTTTGTAGTAATAATCGAGATGGGTAATAGGGGGGGGGGAGGTAGGAGAGGTTGGGTACAATAGAGAAATATGTACCAAGGGCAGGAGAAGATGGCCAAAAGATGTTTTTAAGGTAGGGTACCATTTTTGAAAGCTGGGTAGGCAAACAGTAAATGTTATGGCAAAACATTGTAGTTTTTTGACTTTGCGGCGGGGCAGGGTCAAACGTGAGAAATAGTATGACAAAGGGGAGATAAAAAAGAGATGGTTCAGGCATGTCAGGAACAAAACTGTCGGGTAAAGAATGGGCAGGGTATATCAAGGTAAAGCTGAGCAGAAAAGGCAAGACAGGGCTAGAAAAAAGCTAGAGCTAAGGATCTGGGGTAGAGTTCTCGGCTAAGACAGGGCAAAAGCAGGGCAAAGGCAAGGCAAAGCGAGATAAGACAAGGCGAGACAAGGCAAGGCAAGGCTAATCTAGGCTACGGCTAGGGCTACGGCAGAAACGGCAAGCCAGGGTAAAGCTACGACAAGGGGTTTGGCTAAGGTTCTGGTTCAGGGCATGGGAAGGCAAGGCGGGCCAAGGCTCTGGCCTAGGGCTCTAGGCTAGGGCTCTAGTCTAGGGCTCCAGTTAATAGCTAGGGCGAGGGGTTGTCTTATCGTGAAGTAAATTCTGATATATTATCAATTTTTACAATTGTCTAATCAAGGTTTTTTTCAGAATGACAGCCAAAGAAGATGGGTACGAGTTGTGTCCAGGCAAGTTCGCCTGGGAATGTGAAGACACAAATTGTTGTAACAGCTATCATATTCGCGTTTTAATGTTGTTCTTCTCACTGGGAGTGCTATTAATAGCCTTGGCGGTGTTTGGGGTTTGGATGGCTTTCGACTTCAGGCCTTCAAGGTTGTAAGTTTTTCAAAAAATAGCAAAAACTTTCTCTACAAATCAAAAAATGGCAAGAACTTTCTTTACAAAACAAAAAAGGGCAAAAACTTTCTTTAAAAAACCAAAAATGGCAAGACCTTTCTTTACAATCTAAAAAATAGCAAGAACTTTCTTTACAAAACAAAAATAACAAAAACTTTCTTTCCAAACCCAAAACTCATTAAAAAATCATTTTCTAGCCAGCCCAGAGCAGAGCCGGTCCGTGATAAGCGAGCATTGTCAGAAGTAGAGATCAAGAGTTTCGAAGAGACAAGGTATCTTCGTCGTATGTCCGAACTCAACCCTCATGCCAAACGTGAATATGTTTGAAGTTTGAACCTTTCATTTAGGATTTTTGTCTAATTTAAAAAATTTTGGTGCCATTGGGCCTATTTTGAGATTATTTTTATGCCATTTATTAAAAGTGGTACTTTTAGGCTTCAAAATATTACTACTGTCTCAAATACGACTATTAGTATTTGTTCCTAGTACATAGTACTATAGTAGCCCCATTTTTGTCAATTTTGTACCTATTCTAGTCAATTTGTTTCCTAAAAGGATGTTATTTTTGTGCCAAAAAAGTTTTGTCGTTTTTAGCGTGCAAGACATTGTGATTTAACGACAAGACTTTTATAACAGCTTAGTGAACCTTCCTCAACAACTTTTTTTCATTCTCGATAACCTTAATTGTACATTTAAACGCCATATACATTATTATTCATATTATTATAGTAAGCTTAAAAGATGTTAGGTCTAGTCTAAATTTTTTTTTCAACTTTTTTACTTTTTTTAATTTTACGTACCTTATAACGTAAAAAATTGTGCCATAAACTTGATTAAAATTAAATTTTTTAAACCGTCCCTTATCAAGGTCTGTCTTTTACAAAATAATCCAGTGACATGGCTAGAAATTTTCTTTTGAAAAAAAAATCGGATCCTCCCCCTCCCTTCTTCTGAGCAAGGTCCCTGCACTAAACAATAACATCAACTCTTAAAGTGAGTAATTGTTTATTCCTGAATGGCAAACTTGTATTTAATACGTTAGTATTTTACAAACTAGTATAAACATAGATAGTAAAGCATAGTAATATTAATTAAAAAAACTTAACATTAATGTATAAATAAAGTAAAATATGAGGCGTTTTGGCAACAATTTATAGACCGGTTTGATAATAGTGCAGAAATATTAGTAAGTTTGACGAATGAGGCAATGATGATCAAATAAATGATAAAAAGTCATCTTGAATTAAATATTTAAAAAATTAAAATAGTGATGAGATTTAAAAGTTGATCCCTATGATAACATAAATTAAGATTAAAGGTTACAGTAAGATCAAATTTTGGCTAAAAACCTAAAAACTTTAAGAACATTGATAAAACCCCTAAAAAGGCCGGAAGTAGTGTAAAATTAAAGCTATTGTAAACTATTTTAATGTGGAGATGAGTAAACCATACCTATGACAATATCAAGTAAAATTATATATACCTTACCTATGGGCTATAGCCATACCATGCAGGTTACTTTAACTACAACAACACCACACCTATTTTCCTTTACCTATCCCACCTTCTCCTACCTCCACTCCTAATCCTGTTTGGCCTTGAATCGACCAAACTCTTTAAGCATGACTTTGAAAAGTTTCGACAGTCCAGTAAAAGTCCCAAACACAGCAATGAAACAAGTCGTCAAGACAAATATGGCCACATCGAAATGGCAGTAGACAAAGAAGGACTGGCTTCTACCATAAGGTTGGAGTTCGGGCAGGGTGCCATTTCCCATTTCAATCATTCTAATCATCGAGGTCAGGCGCTCCATCGCTACTTGTGGTCGATTCTGCATCAGATTCTTGGTTCTGGTCGCTTTTTCACAAAATCTGAAAAAAAAACAAATTTTGATAAATGGCAAGAACTTTGTTTACAAAACAAAAAAAAGCAAGAACTTTCTTTACAAATCAAGAAATGGCAAGAACTTTGTTTACAAAACAAAAAATAGCAAGAACTTTCTTTACAAAAAAAAAATGACAAAAACTTTCTTTACAAGACAAAAAATGACAAAAACTTTCTTTACAAAACAAAAAATGACAAAAACTTTCTTTACAAGACAAAAAAAATGACAAAAACTTTCTTTACAAAACCAACTTTTCAATTCAAACCCGAATTTTCCTGCCAAAACCCTTACCGTTCGGTTTCAGTCGAGTTCAACATGAACTCCATAGTCTCCTTCATCAATTTCTCTCCATTTTCATTCCTAACGGCCACTTTATCCAATATCATTCCCCAGCCATTCCTTTCGGCCAACTTTCCATTCCGATACTGGTCGATAAAACTGCCCATAATGATAGTCGGTACTCCATAGTACGCGGACTCTATCAACGAATTGTAGCCTCCATGTGAGACGAACAGCTTGGTTTTGTTGTTTTTCAAAATTTTGAGTTGAGGAGCCCAGTCGGTGAATAAGATATTGTCAGCTTCCATGAACATACTCAGTTGTTCGTGACCTTTGTCGTGTTTGAAGATGAATTGATAGTCGGGCATGTCCTTCATGGCTTTGATTACGTTTAGAAGAAACTCTTCTGGTAAGTAGGTGGTTTTCGTGATTGATCCGAGTGAGAAATATACAATATCCAAAAGAAAGAAGTTTAAAAAACGGCCGAAACATCAAAAAATCCAAAAATTTTGCCATTTTTTAGCTATAACTTTTTTAAAAATCAAACTACAGCCCTAAAACGTTTAATAAGCCAAGCTTATTGACTTTTTTATCTAATTCGAAAAAGCAAATTTCAAAATCTTCAAAAATGAAAAAGTTACATCGCCTTAACCTATACCTACTTCACAAAAATTTCATATCAAATCAAAAAAATGCCATAACTTTTTCGACCGCAAAGCTAAAATTCCCAAATTATCAGCAAATCCACACTATCTAATATGTTACCTAAACCAATAAACAGTATTTTAAAATCAGACCAAATTTCAAAGTTACAGTAACCTACCTTTTCCTCCATCGACCAAAATTTTTTCCAATTTTTCATTTTTCTCAGCCTTTTTAGCTTCTTCTAATAGTCCCATAGCACCAATATAGACCATATTAGGCAACATTGGCCTTGGGAACTCAATTAGTTCATCAGCATAGATCAACGTGATCACGGAGTCACCAGCGATTTCGTCTACATCTTTGTCGTAGGCTTCTCTGAAATTACAAAATTAGACTTTACAGAAAGATAAAAGACAGGTCTATCCATTGATATAAAATTCTACGCCAAAAATAACCTAAATCCACCTAAAATTTCCTAAAATCTTCAAAAATTCATATCAACTGACCTACTACAATATAAATGCCCGTAAAATCTCGAAGCAAACCTAAAATAAGGTAAAGCTTACCTAAACGCATCCTGAAAGATGTGATTGACCATTCTAGAACCTTGCCGTAGTCCGAGATAACTTGTCGCATAACCTACGACGTTTTCAAGTCGTTCATAGAAGTTGAGCTTATCACCCAACTTCATGAAACTAAAACTAGGTACATAGCTGACTGGTGTTGGTGCTCCAATTATTGCTGCTGTGTGTTCAAACAATGGGCATCTGGAATTATATATCCATCAAAAAAAGCCAAAATAACCGTGAACGTGGCATAACTTTGACTATTTTTATATTACACTAGACAGAAAGTAGATGGTCAAACAAGAAATCTTCAAAACTAAAATATTTTGATCTTATCCTTGAACAAAAAGCCAAAAATAGATAAAGAAAACAATAATAAAGCTTTCAAAGAAACTTACGAAGATAAAAGAACATTAGTTTTAATCCCACCCATATAACTCATCGCTGTGCCGCAAAGGTCAACATGTTCATTGATAACCATGTCAAATTGATTGTTCTTGATGTAATTGTACGCTTTTTTGCTTTGTACGTGCTCTAAAAAGTCATTTTCTATACAATAAAGTATAAAAACTTTGAAAAATCTACAAAAAATAGATAATATCAAACTTTTTAACACAATATTATGGGTAATATAAAACATTTTACACCTCAAAATCAATCAAATTCAAGCACACTTTTTTTAAACAAATAGTATTTGTATATCTAACAGTGTGTTAAATATCAAACAGATTGAAACAAATTTACAAAAATTACATCAAATTTCAGGGTTTATCATGGATAATATAAAGTCAATCGCTCATAACTCAACAAATACAACTCTGATCAAAAAAAAATTTCAGGAATAGATAAACTATTCAAATATCAACAAAAATCTCAAATATTACCTAAAACTATCAGCTCATAAAAATTATACGTCAAAGTGTCAGCTAACCTAATGATATTCACCCGTTTCATAAAAAATGATCAATCTGTTACAAACCAAAAATAAAAAGCTTACTTTTACAAAACATGGCAAACTTCTCCTCATATGCCATAATGAAATCGTAGTGTTTCAGCGCATTGGAAGATTCAAACGACTCGCGCATGATCTTCTCCATGTTCACTGGGATAATTCCATCTCGATCGACCAATTCAATGTCCACCTTCTTCGCAAGTTTTGTAAAAGTGTTATTACTAGGTGATAACAGGTATTCGACGTTCAATATTGTCTGAAAATAATGTTTTTGTTTGGAAATATCAAAAAGTATTTGATTTTTGAAAAAAAGCTGCAAGAGTTAATATCCTTGGCCATAATTCAACAAACTAAACGCTTTTTAAACTCCTAAAACATTTCTGTACATAAAGAATAGTATTTTCTCTTTGTTTTAAGGCCAAAAACAGTCAGCACTACCAAAAATTAAAATAGTTATAGCCAAAACCACCAACCCAACACGTCTGCTACCTAAAACAATATAAAAATCAAAGAGAAATCCACATACCACATCGTGTCCATCATTTGCTAATGCGTCCGCTATCCTAGCACACATTTGCATGTGACTGATGCTTATTGTCGGACTGTAGACCAATATTTTCGCGGATTCTGTCATCTGGACCAACACCATGAGTAACATCGGCATTAACCGTTCACAAACCCGCCTAACCTCCATGGTTAATTATAAAAGCAGTTAAAAAAATAAATTAAAATGTAAGTTAATGGTAGTTTATGTACAGTTTTGGTAAGTGTTCAATCTGAAAAGACAAGATTTTATTGATGAAACTTGGCCGTTTGAGTTTTTTATGAAATCAGGCGTCCTGCAGCTTGCAAAATCCCGTTCTCGCTCGCGCCCCGCCTGTTTTTTAAAAATAATGTTAGAACACGGAAATAACAAACTCTATGATCTTTGGCTAAAATACAGCAGTAGTATAATGGAAGTATGTTTTATGGAAAGATTTTGCCGGAAATCGCAGTAAGTTTTTTTCTTTTTTAACGAATTGAAACCCAAGATCCCCCGAGGGTAAATAAAAAATTGGTCTGAAGGAACTGGAACGATGTACATTAGATTAATCTTACTCAAAACAAGTGGGATGTGTTGAAAATGCATTGTTTTACCTATTGAAACTTGAATTTTAGTGAAATTTTCAAATTTTGGCTCATATTGTTATTGCCTCGAACATTTTTTGCCATTTCTTACCCAAATTTTGAACAGTTTTGACTAAAATAGGTAAAAGAGAGCTAGGGGAATGTATTATAACCTTCAAAACCCTTATCTTCAAAAAGACTAACGAAAAATGGCAAAATGTTTGAAATTTCACTTTTTCTGATCAAAAAGTTGATCGCTCGAGGGATTTTTGAAATTTCAGTCTAAAATGCTGTAAAATTGGCTTTGTGAACCGTTACAATATTCAATTTGGAAGTTATTCTAGTCAAAACAAACGAGATAGCTACGTAAAACGACCAATTTTTGCGATTTTTCGGCTTTGAGCATCTGAGGTCTAGTGTAATATAGATTTTTAGTTTTTTTTTAACTTTTTAGTATAAAAGGTTGAAGAAATGTATATTCTATAATAAATTAGAGTAAAATTAATGTTTTGTAAGGTAAAATACGGCGGATTTATCAAAACTCAAGACGAAAATCGGATATCAAGTGTAATATAAGTCCAATAAATAAAATTAAAAAGTACCCAAAACAAATATTTTTAATTGAAAATTTATGTCATTTGCGACCCAAAAACATAAAAAATGTTAACTAAAAAGTAATATAAAGCCAGTTCTTTGAAAAAAAAAAGTTTAGTTCCAAATATAAACCTAAATTAAGGTGCATATAACCTTCATTTTCTTGCTAAACTTCAAAACCTACGTGCAAAGTTTACGTTTTCAAAGTGTATGTTCATGGAAAAAAGTATGATCTTCCAACTACAAATGTTCTTTCTTGGAAGAACGAACGTTAAAAGTGCAATGACAAATAAGGTACAAAAACTCATTTTCACCATGCAAATACGCCACTTGGTCTTAAGATGTACACGATAACGGGATGTAGGTATTAAGACGTGCATAACGTACGAATAGATTATAGTGTGGGCAAAGGACAGTCTGCGAAAACATATTGTTATTGTAAATTAGAGGTTTATATAAAGAATGGCATTTTGTGTTTGTTGCACTTATAATATTAATGTTATGATTAGTATAATCGGTAAAAAACAGATTTTGTCAATAAAATAGGTAATAAAAGGATTGATTTAGTTTTAAAAAGCCCAAAAATGAAAAAAAATGTGTGCCCAAAGGCTAAATTGATGGCTAAATTAAGATTTTAATCCTGCCAAACTTGCTTTAAACTCAATTTAAAATTTAAAAAGGCTTGGCCAAGATTAACTTAAGGCTATAGAATTTAATATTTCTGCAGAAAAATGAGTAACATAGTAATTTTATAGTAAACAATTGGTAATAATCTAGTTTAAAGTGCTACCCCTGCCCTCACCCCTACCCATACCCCTACCCCTACTCCTACCCAGTGTTTTGCCGATCCGGATTTTCAAAAATTGCAAAATTGAAAATAACTTTTTAGCTTATGGTTTGAACTTTTAAAAAATAAATAACTTTTGTGAAGGTCCGTCTCACACAAGTTCCTCGCTAAAAATTTGGACCGGCCGGACCGAATCGGTCTTGCCGATCCGGCGGTCCATTTCGGTAATAACTTGATAGCCAAAGACGGACCTTCACAAAAGTTGTCTATTTTTTATAACTTCAAACGATAAGCCAAAAATTATTTTCAATTTTGCGATTTTTGAAAATCCGGACCGGTCCGGCAAAACACTGCTCCTACCCCGACTTCTACTCCAACCCCTACCCCTATCCCTAACTTTACCTTTGCTCCTAACCCTACTGTTGCTCCTACCCCTATCTTTGCTCCTACTCCTACCCTTGCTCCTACTCCTATAGCCCCTACTGTAGCCCTTACTATAGTCTCTACCGTTGTCTCTATTTCAGCTCCTGCCATTACTCTTACCCTTGTCATACCCTGCGCTTACTTATACTTTCAGCCTTATCTTTACTGCTACCTCTATTTTTGCTGTAGGCCTGCCCAACCATTGCCTTGCCTTCCATACTCCTACGTTGGTCTCTACCGTGACCTCTATCTTAGCTTTACTTTAACAATAAGCTTTTTTCATCACGCTTACCTTTTTATTTTACCATAGCCAAGCCCTACGTTCAAAAACTTTAAAATTTACCAGCCAAACTTTTATCTCATTTTGAAAAAGTTTGTTGAAAACTTGATACAATTCCTAAATTACTTTGACCTCTTATGAACTGTCTGATAAAATAAGTCTGTAAAACTGGTACTATTTATATATTTTTGAAACTTGGAACTGATAAGGAAATATTAAATTTAAAATAAAGTTTAAGAAAGCATTTATTGCGTCTAGTTTGATCAATTTTGTTGGTATAAAACTTTTTTAAACAGGTCTTCAACGATATCTAATACTATAACCTATAGAAGGCTAAGAAATTCATGGTTGTTGGCTTTACTCTCTTATCTGTCTTAGGACTGTCTTAGGATTAGTTGGTCTTAAATCATCTCTAAGCTCTTTCTTATATCTAGATGTTAAAAATAGTTACAGTCAAGCAGGGCTATGGTAGGGTAGGCTAAGGTCAAGGTATGGCTAAGGTATCTTGTGGGTGGGTAGGGTAAAATAAGGAAGGGTATAATTGAGGTACGGTTTCAAAAAAACAAGGTACCCCTTCTCCCCCGCTTTTAGATTAAAAATGGCCGCCCGGTTCTGCTTACAGTATCTGTTTGACGTCAAAAAAACTTGAAAATTGCAAAAGATAAGGCATTTTGTTATTGTATAATACAAAGACGAGCACAAAGTTGACAGACTGAAAGGCGCTTAATTTGATAAAGCGAAAGAAAGGAAGTAATCCCGATGGTCTGCACTTTTAAGCCAAACGAATATTCATAGCTGACTAATCAAACTTGATTAATCGCAAAGTGTTACCAACGTCTGGAACGTTGCAATTAATCAGAGTTTATATCACAATTAGAAGGCATGGAAAAGGTTCTGGCTGTGGCATCAGGACATAAGTTATAGCAGGACAAACATGGTACTGTAGGTTGGGTAAGCCAAAGAGGAGGTTAGGATAGAGTAGGGTAGGGTAAGTTACAATAGTATAGAGCGAAGTGTAGTACGGGTAGGGTACGAAAACGTAAGTAGGATACGGCAGGTTATGGTAGGATAATCTAGGATAGGGTATGGTATGTTAGGGTGGGATAATGTAGGGTAGGGTAAGGTAGGTTAGGATGAAGTAGAGGAGGATAGGGTAGGGTAGATTAAGATACGGTAGGGTAGGTCAATTATGCAAAGCGTAGGGTACGGCAGGTCAGAGTCTGGCCGAGCGGAGTAGTACTATTGCAGGGTAGCTCTATTGCACGGTACTGTATGGGCAATACTCAAGCAGAGCTATGTTAGGGTAGACTTAGGAAAGGGTATGACTCTGGTATCTTGCGGTAGGGTAAAGTAAAAAAAGAAAGGATATAATTACGGTAAAACGATTTTTTAAAACATATACATTTCGTTCTCGATACCCTTCCCCCTCCCCCCTCCATATAATCCTTCTCCACACTAAATTCTGTCTAACCTTAACATTGTTTACTACTTTTTCATAAAAACAGTTCCTTATATACTGTCATAGGTCGTAGTATAATATTTTTCTCAATTTTCTATTGTTTGTAGGTCGAAAGACCAAATTTCCACCGCAAAACATAATGTATGTGCATTGTGTTTCGTGCCACGACATTATAAGAAGCGACAATGCCTAACAATAACTCCGTAATAAGAAAACTGTCATTTTGTATTGCCGTATCCTACATTTTGTTATTGTTTTACGTTCTACTTCGTATTGTTTTATCCTACATTTACTATTGTTTTCTACTACCTACGCTACAAAGACAATTATAAATACGTAGAAACACGTATTGTCAACAATATCTTTCAAAGTCAAAAGAGTAATTAACGTTTTGTGTTATGTATATAATCATATAGATATGTACAACGACAGTTCTAATAAATAATAAATTTTGTTATTGGAAATTACCGTAGTTTCTATTATAGAAAAAAACAGGGTAAGGTGGGGTAGGGCAATGCAGAGCAATTGGTGAGAAACGGATCGTGTAGAGCAGGCCCTGCTCGGCCCTACGATCGGGCCAGGTCGGCTTTGAGCTACACTTAGGTCGGGGCAGGCCTGAAAATCAGGCTAGCCTCGGCAAGACAAAGCTCGGCCCCTCTGAACGAAAAAAATTCGGGCCGGGCCGGCCTGAAGTAAAAATGAAAACGGGCTGGGTCTCAATCGTGGGCCCCGGGCTACAACCTTGGGCCCCCGGTCACAACTTTGGGCCCCGAGGCTCAACCTCCGGCACTGGGCCAGGCCGGGCTTAGAAAATGGGCGCGGCCCGTTTCTCACCCCCATGGGTAGGGTTGGGTAAAGTAGGGTAGGATAGTCCAAGAATATAAAAATATAAAACTTAAAAAATTCGTAAAGAAAACAGAGACACATGTTTTAATTTGCCATGTTCGGCCTCATGAATGTTATGTTCTCTCTTTCGTTTTTTGTACTTTTTTTTGAATGTGCACTTTTATTTTA